GCTGGTTTTTTTTTTTTTTTGGTCGGTCATAGGGCCTGAACTCTAGGCTTAGGTGCTGTCCCTCAGCTCGTCAGCTCAAGGTTAGCACTCTACCACTTGAGCCACAGTGCTATTCCAGGTTTTTCTGCTTATGTGGTGCTAAGGAATCGAACCCAGGGCCTCATGCATGCAAGGCAAGCACTCTACCACTGAGCCACCTTCCCAGTCTGAGAAGAGCTTTTGAGACATACCCTAATTAATATTTTGAAACATAATCTTAGCAACTTTGCCTAAGAGGGCTTCCAATTTACCCCTGTCTCCTGAGTAGCTAGGATTACAGTGGTCAGCTTCCTTTCTTCTATTCCATGTGAGAATTACTGCCCTCTACAAGAACACAGTAATCTAATGAACTAGATCTTAACCCCACTTTGTAGTACTGAGAAAACTAAAACCTGAAGTTTTGTGCCTACACAAACATGGGTACACAGCACTTCAGCAGGAGAACTGGAGCTATTTCAAGTTCCAAATCCAGTATAAATGAACTGCCCTGGATGATAAATAGAATTATATGCCAGTTGGCCAGCCTAAGAAAATGCTAGCCTAGGAGAGAGGTACAGCGCAACAAAACGGAACAGTAAAGGCACGCAGAGGTACCCTGCTGTGGGTGGCTGAATTCCACGTGAGCAATGGAGATAAAGGTCCTCAGAAGGGAGCATTTGGATTGAGCTGAAGAACGTGGATTGTTTTTCTTTCTAATACATCAAAGCACGTCAGAGATGGTGAGATCCTTTATCTGATGAGGGAAGGCACATTGAGAGAACATAAAGCATACGAGCATATCTTGGCCATTTGGGAAGTGTTTCTTCTCAGGTGCCTTCTTCTGGGCCACCCACTAGCCAAGAGTAATTTTCTCTACCAAGGTGATTGTCTTTTTTTGAAACAAAGATAATGGACATACTGGATTTCCTTTTGCACGCTGCACAGCTATCAGTGGAGAATTACCTCTTTTGCTATGCAGTATATTGATGCAATTGTTCTTTGGAAAGTACACAGACAAGCCAGGCATCAGTGGCTCTACTGCCCTCTACATTACAGTGGCTTGTAATCCTGGCTACTCAGGAGGCTGAGATCTGAGGATCATGGTTCAAAGCCAGCCCGGGCAGGAATGTCCCATGAGATTTTTATCTCCAGTTAACCAGAAAACGGGAAGTGGTGCTGTGGCTCTAGCCGTTAAGTACTAGCCTTAAGCTGAAGAGCTGAGGGACAGCGGTCAGGCTCAGAGTCAAGCCCGTGACTGTCAAAAAATAAAAGTACACAGAAATTTAGCAAAGCATCTGGCATTTTGTAGATGTGAGTTTTGTGCTATATATGATTCCATTCAGGCATTAGCCATCCTGTTAGAGCAGCCAGTGGTATGCATTTACAATCTCAATTTTCCCATGACAAAAATGAGATCCTAGGATCCTGCAGGCTCATTCCTGTGCATCTGATCCCTCCATGCCAGTAAATGGCCATCCTGTCTTTTCCTTTACTAGTACTAGAAGTATGGGAAGTCTGGCAGACACTATTTGTTCTCTTCCTGCCCTTCCTCCTCAACCCAGTCTGTCAACACATCCCTCCAGCATATCCTCTGCTCACCGACTGCCAGCTGCTTGCCAGCTGTCTGCTGGCAGGCTCCTGTTTATCCTGTAAAACTCTACAAGTGTTGCTTATTCCAGGAAGTCCCTCCTGGTATCTCCTCGAAGAGGGGTATGCTTTCTTAGTGTCTGTAGCTTCAAGGTGTAGGTTTTCAGTTAGGATGACTGAATTCTGAAGATCAATTGTGACAAGCTAATAGATATTTGTCCTATATTTGAAAACTGATGAAAGTAGATACTCAGTATTCTTCCCACTTATTCTGTGTGAGTCATTAATTAGATTGAATCATTTCACAGCATTTACATAAGTCAAAGCATCATGTTATGCATCATAAATAACTATTTTTTGTTTGTTAATTATATATTAATGATGCTGGGGAATAAAGTGGAATGTAGTTCTGTAAGACAGGGAACTTAGCTTATTCCTCTTTGCAAACCCTACAAGAAGCACATTTAGTATTTAGACCTCCAATACATTTTTTTGGTTGTCTTTTTTCCTTTCTGTTTTAGAGACAAGGTCTTATTCTATATATAATTTTTTTTTTTTTTTTTTGTCGGTCGCGGGGCTTGAACTCTGGGCTTGGGTGCTGTCCCTGGGCACTTCAGCTCAAGGTGAGTGCTTTACCGCTTGAGCCACAGTGCCACTTCCAAAGGTCTTATTCTATAGCCTAGGCTGCTCTCAAATTTTCCATCCTCCTGCTATAGCCTCCCAAGGATAAATTTTTTTACTATTATTATCTTTAAGTAGTTGTACAAAGAACTTCCCATTCTACAAAACAGTACATGAGTACAAAGTGTCCTACAACATTGTCACCCATCTCTCCTAACCCATCCCTTCTCTCACTTTTTTCTTTAATTGAGATTAGGTGATTACATAAATTTCACATATTTCATAGTATTGTGGAACAGTGATACTTAGTTAAAGTCACAAACACATTGTAACCTTCATAAGGCAAATTGTCATTATCATGGTCTATACAGAGTGTGAATTCTATGAGCTTTGACAATACAAGTTATTGTTTCCACATCAGGTGATGTTTACATTTCTTTCCTTTTGCTAAGTGTAGGCTGTTCCCACTTACTCTGTTCCTCCTTCTGGTTTCCCTCAGTTGTGTGCATGTATCTACCATACATATGGTTAAGAACAAAGAGTCATTTAGCAATGCTATGACAAAATGGGTGGCTGTCCTTTGTTTCTTGAGTCCTGTTACTTTGTCATGCCAAGGATAAAAAATTTTTTGTCGGTTGTGAGGCCTGAACCCTGGGCCTGGGCACTGTCCCTCAGCTCTTCAGCTCAAGGCTAGCGCTCTACCACTTGAGCCACAGCACCACTTCCAGCCTTTTCTGTTTATGTGGTGCTGAGGAATCGAACCCAGGGCCTCATGCATGCGAGGCAGGCAGTCTACCACTGAGCCACCTTCCCAGTCCCCAAGCATAAAGATTAAAAAGAAAACGTCAGGATCTCACTATATAGTCCAGTCTGGCCTCAAATTCGCAATCCTACTTCCCCAGCTTTCTAAGTGCTGAGATTACCAGCATGTGCCATTATGCCCCAGTAATAAGTGTTTTAAAGTAATGACATGGAAAGAGAGAACCCTTAATTGGTGCTTGTGAAACACCTCAGTGAAGAAGACCAACGGTAGACAGAGGGCTGGTCTTAAAGGCAGACGGTGAAAAGTGAGCAAGGGCACACAACCCTTGGTGGCCAGCTGTGGTCATGAAAGCAGAAGTAGAAAAGTATAGTTGTATAGTCTCTGCAAAGGAGAGCATGTCTTCCCTTTCTTTCCTTTTGTGGAACGCTGTCCAAAGACTGAAGCTTGCATGGTTCCAGGTCACACTGTAGGGCTGCATTCGAAGGGTGGAGGAACAGGAAGCTGGAAGAAGCCTTTAGCAGGACGCAGGGCATTCTGGGAGAAGAAACAGAATGAAAGAGTATTCTGAACAATCAAGAAGATCACCTGCAAAGGAGATGGAAAGGAGCTACAGACAGATGAGAAAGCCAAGGACTTGCTTCCAGCAAAAAGGAACTGTGCAGCCGCCAAGAGCTGAGTGTAGTTTAGATCCCGTGTGTCACAAGGCCAAGCAAGGACACAGGAGCACTAAGTTCAGAAGTGGTGCCAGAATGGGTTGAAGGGTGGTAGAGTCAGGAGGTGACCTAGAAAGGAACAAAGAATTTGGGGGTAGTTAGACCAATCGGAAGGGTTGTTGAGTGAAGGAGAGGTTTTCTAGAAGTCTCCAAATGTAGGACTGTGCCTGTGGACTGCTAGGTTTTAAAAAAGAAGTAGCCAAGTAAGAACTGCACCAGCACGCACGTGGTATTCAGGTAAGGGGTAGGTTTATTCAGTAGACCTGCTAGGACCAGGCAAGGTTGGCACTCCACGTGGCTGGGAAAGAGAGAGGAAAGAGCTAGAGCAGAGAGAGAGCAGAGAGAGCTAGAAAAGAAGAGCAAGAGAGCTAGAAAAGAAGAGCAAGAGCAAGAGAGCTAGAAAAGAAGAGCCAGAGCAAGAGAGCTAGAAAAGAAGAGCAAGAGCTAGAGAGCTAGAAAAGAAGAGCAAGAGCTAGAAACGAACAGAGAGAGAAAAAGAGAGAGTCTGGGCCTGGGCTAGGCCTTATCTAGGGTATGGGCGGGGAAAGGTGTGGCCACATCAAATTCAGATGTGACCTCAGCGGATGCAGATGTGACCTCTTCCAGGTGTCTCAGTTGCCTAGGTAACGCAGGTACTGGGTGGAGACTTTGCTGCGAGGAGGGTGGAGTCTGCTTCCCATCCAGGGGCAGACCTTACATGGACAAAATCCTTTAGCTAGGAAAGCAGGAGCATGGTCTTGTGAACGTGACCAAGACTAGACATTTGCAGTCCGTTGTGGTAAGGGGAGCGAAGTAGATGGGTGGCCTTGTGTGGGAAGGCTTATGGATGAGGGATGCAAACAGCTTGGTGCCTCCATTTAAAGCTTTCCATCTTCTGAAACAGTTAACAAGGTCATCAGATGGAACCTCATGCTAATGAGGGCATTGTCCCCACGTCCTGCCCATTCCTGCCCATCCCTTCTGACTCAGCTTGCGTCTGATCTGCTGTGAAAGTCTCTCCCCAACTTTAGATGGGTCATGTGGCAGCCGCAGTGTCCCCCGGTGCCTCTGCCTCTCCAGCCTCTCGGTTGTCCTCAGACACTCTGCCCTTGCTGCTTCTCAGCTTCTCAGCCCCAAACATGTCCTTCCGTCTGGCTGCCACTGTCTCTTTTCACCCCCTGTGAGTTCACTTGTTAAAACCCCATTCACATATCTGTTTCTGTAGTGATTATTAAGGAAACTGGGAGGGAAGGAAAGATCATTCAACTCTTAGTTTTTGATGCAAAGAAAGTATTGTTTCTTTTTCTTTTTTATTCTAGGTGGTTCTGGAATGGAGCCGGGATCAGTACCATGTTTTGTTTGATTCCTATAGAGACAATATTGCTGGAAAGTCCTTTCAGAATCGGTGAGAAGAAAGCTATTTTGGAGAATATCTGTTCTGTAGACTTATATGATGAGTCATGAAAGCGCTCATGTTTTGCATATGTGTATTACCATCAAAGTTTTAGATGGTGAAGAATACAGTATACCCACCTGAAGAGACCTTGCAGTTCAACACATTTTGGGGATAAAAATCCTGATTCCCAAGGCATCTTCTTCCCTGAGGTTTGAGTACACTGAGTGGCAGGATCTCATTCAACCTTGCACCAGTTCTGTGACGCAAAGGATATCTCCTTTCTCCCATGGAACCAGGTTGCTATGACACAGCCAATTGGAGATAACCACAGAGAAGAGAGTGCACATGTGCACTCATTCACATTGCCTTTAACCTTTCTTTTTCTTCTTCTTTCTTTTTTTTTTTTTTTGCCAGTCCTGGGACTTGAAATCAGGATCTGGGTACTGTCCCTGAACTTCTTTTGCTCAAGGCTAGGACTCTACCACTTGAGCCACAGTGCCGCTTTTGGCTTTTTCTGTGTATGTGGTACTGGGGGATTGAACCCAGGGCTTCATGCATGCTAGGCAAGCACTCTACCGCTAAGCCACATTCCCAGCCAACCTTTCCTGTTTGTATATGTCATTCCTGGGAGACTGGGAGTAAAAAGATCATCAGTTATTTCCTTCTGAGCATGATGCATCAGATTTTATTTTAGGGCAACATTGTTGTATGTGCTGAAGGAATTGATGGTTTATCTAACCTTTAGGTTTTAAACCCCACTTAAATACTAGACACACTATTCTATGCCTTAGGCACCTAATGGTGAGGAGGAAGAATTCATTGATCCTATATAGAACTCACTGACATTATAGTTGGGGGTGGAGGGAGAACAGTGGGGAGTTGGGAGTGAAGTGTAGTTCACATAGAAACCAAGTAAGTGTAACTTGTCTATTTTAAAACTAGTGATCTTACTAATGGAGTTTCCAGGAACTGCTTATAAAAGAGAATTGCAAGGTCCCACCCCAGGCCCATTCAATTAGAAACTCTGGTCATGGAGACCAGCACTAAGTTTTAGGAGGCCTGAAGGTAATTTTTGATACTTGCTAATGTTTGAGAACTATTGATATAAATAGAAACAGAAAGCGCCTAGGTAAAGAGCCTCTGTGTGTGTGTGTGTGTGTGTGTGTGTGTGTGTGTCTGTCTGTCTGTCTGTCTGTCTGTCTGTCTTAGTTTAGTTCAGGGGTGGGGGGATTCTGCCTTTGAAGACTGTTGCAGTAGCCGGGCGCTGGTGGCTCACGCCTGTAATCTTAGCTACTCAGGAGGCTGAGATCTGAGGATCGAGGTTCAAAGCCAGCCCAGGCAGGACAGACCGTGAGACTCCTATCTCCAATAAACCACCAGAAAACTGGAAGTGGCACTGTAGCTCAAGTGGTAGAGCGCTTGCCTTGAGCTGAAGAGCTGAGGGACAGCGCTCAGGCCCAGAGTTCAAGCCCCACGACCGACCAAAAAAAAAAAAAAGACTGTTGCAGTAGAAAGAGCCTGAAGCTGGAGGGAAGCAAATAATGAAGCAGGGCACAGTGCATAATACCTTTTCTACCTGAGACTTAGATACAGGTGCACTGAATTAGTCTGTCATGGTATGGAAGCTGTATATTAAGCAATAAATTCTGGACTGGGAAGGTGGCTCAGTGGTAGAGGGCTTGCCTTGCATGCATGAGGCCTTGGGTTCGATTCCTCAGCACCACATAAGCAAAAAGAAAAAAGCGGAAAGTGGCGCCGTGGCTCAAGTGGTAGAGTGCTAGTCTTGAGCTGAGGGATAGCGTCCAGGCCCAGAGTTTAGGCCCCACAACCGGACCCCCCAAAAAAATAAAATAAATCCTCCCCGGGGCAGGTGAGAAATGAGGTAGAACTGAAAGAAAGGACAATCCAGACAGGAGTAAAAGTATGTTCAAAGACACAAGATCCTGCAAGTTCTTAAGGATTGTGTATTGAGTAAACTGCTTAAGTATCCAGAGTACAAGAGACAGGCTCTGAAGAGCTCTGACTGTTCTGCTGGCCCTACTCCTCATTTTCCTGAGGAATCCTGGGTCCTCTGTTACTCTTTGGCCTTCATCTCCAATTGGCTCTTTCATTTGTTCACTTAGACCACTGATCTGTAGCCTCTAGGGGAGCCAGGTATCCACAAGCCTCAGGGTGTTTGCATGTGATACTATCTTTCTCTAATCCTTTCTCCTCCACTACCCAACTGGCTTACTTCCAGGCTTTATTCACAACCTTGCTCTACAGGCCTGGGGCCTTCTACAATCAGGAAAAGCACTCCATACCTCTAAGCTACAGGCCAGCCCACAATACTGCTTTCTCTGTAAGGTCATCTCTGGTTTGTCTATTTTAAAATGACCGTCCCCACATAGATACCCTCTCAACTGTCCCCATTTTGTACATAATGTCTAACCTCACATTCTGATTTTTTTCTTTTTTGGTTTATTTCATCTCTTCACTCTACTAAAATGTAAGTTCCACATCAAACTTGCTTTTGAAGTATCCTGACTTCCCAGGGGCAGTGGGACTTGAACCCAGGATCGGTGAAAGGAGTCACCAACACTCAGTCAGGCTAAGAATCTTTATTAGCCACGGTGACTGCCCTTCACTATACCAAGTCAGTGAAGCACAGCAACCAAGTTCAAAACGGGTTGGGCTTCTAGAGGGAAAAAAAAACAAGCAAGGGGACCACCCACAGCTAGCTGGCCAGTGGTAGTTTCACCTTTGGCAAGGAAGCAATTTACAGAAGCAGAGCTAGCAGTTAGTGATTACAGAATGGTGAATTCCAGTTATTCCAATAACCAAGGCAATAAGTCACAAGGCAAAGTTCTTACCCAACTTCCCTTTTCTCAGTTCCCAATTTAATTGACATTGACTAGAACATTCCAAACTTCTTATCACACCCAAACTCAGACCACCTTCCAGGTTTTCTGGCTCTTTCTGAGTTTCACTGTTATTTACCAAATTCCAATAACCCAGTGTTTAATGCATCAATTTACTTCAAGCCTTTATCTTTGGAATTTCTCCTTTTTTTGACTAGCCTGGAGTTTTTTTGTACAGGGTGATCCTGCCTTTCAAGTTTGGCTCTATTTTTTTTTTTTTTTTGGTGGTCGTGGGGCCTGAACTCTGGGCCTGGCGCTGTCCCTCAGCTCTTCAGCTCAAGGCTAGCGCTCTACCATTTGAGCCACAGCGCCACTTGTGGCTTTTTTCTTCTGTGGTGCTAAGGAATCGAACCCAGGGCCTCATGCATGCAAGGCAAGCACTCTACCACTGAGCCACCTTCCCAGCCCCCCCCCACCCCCAGGCCCTGTTCTTAATAATAATTTTTTTTTCTGTTTCTAATTTCACATTTTGTATTCTCTTTGGGGAGGAAATCATCATACTTCTTTTTTTTTTTTTTGTCGGTCATGGCCCTTGAACTCTGGGCCTGAGCGCTATCCCTGAGCTCTTTAGCTCAAGACTAGCACTCTATGACTTGAGCCACAGTACCACTTCGGTTTTCTGGTAGCTTATTAGAGATAAGAATTTCCATGGACTTTCCTGCCCGGGCTGGCTTTGAACCGAGATCCTCAGATCTCAGCCTCCTGGGTAGCTAGGATTACAGGCGTGAGTCACCGGTGCCCGGCCTCATCATACTTTCTAATTTTTTTTTTTTTTGTGAAAATACTGTACAGAGGGGTTACAATTACATGGGCAAGGTAATGAGTACATTCCTTATCAAGCATTGTAGCCTCCTCCTTTGTTTCCCCTTCCCATCCCTTCCCATCCTCCACCCCCCCCAATCCTCCTCACGGCCCCCCCCCCATCACCCTCCCACCCCCCCCCCCCCCCCCCCCGCACCAAAGTTGTAAAGTTCATTTTCAACATAACAACTTGTACATCTCATTGTTGCAATGGGTCCACCTGTATCCCTATTTAAACGATTTGTTTTTCCCCTTCCCCTCCACAAATTATACTGACATCAAATACAGTGAAAGCAGGGGTTATACCGTGGGGGAGGTACATACAAAGCAACAAAGAAATAATCCTATAAATGTGTTAGAAACAATTGCATGAAAGAAAAAAAAACATTTGAATACATATCTTAGGGTTCATTTCCCTAACATCAACTTATCTGACCTTTTCTGCTTGACTCAGACATATACTAGATATTGCAAATAAGGGAAACCATGGGACCTATGTTTCTTTGGGCCTGGCTTACTTGACTTAATATAATTTTTTCTAAGCCTTTCCATTTTCTAATTTTTTTTGAGACAATCTCTCCATCTATAGTTCAGGCAGACCATGAACTCAAAACTTCCCTTCTTTAACTTGGCTTACTTCTTTTAAGTAAAACATGGTGGACATTTTACCAATTTTTTTTTCCTTTTGTAACTTGAAAGATTTATCCACCAAGCTGTATTCATTTTCCTATGAAATACCCCTTCAGGGAGTAATATGGTTGGGCCTAATCCTATGCCTGAGCTGTGAGGATAATAGGAGGCCAAGCTTTAGTGCTTGACTAGAAAACAAAACCAAGCTGTACAGTTGCTTGGGAAATGCCAAACTTGGGAAGACCCTTCTAAAGAATTGTCAACACCCAACTCTATCTATAAAGTTCAGTGAATAGGCCCGGAAAGATAAAAGATTGGTGGAGGTTTTGATAAATCTGGGGGTAAGACCTGAACCAAAACAGTAGGCTCAGGAATTAAAGGCTTCCTCTACTTCCTTATTTTCTGGATAAGATCATTAGGCGTAAATAGAGAGGGTTCCAGAGTGGGTCTGTACTTATATCTTAGCTATGTCACCAGAAGCTCATTCACAAATACAAACTGGGCACCTCTGAGCTAGGTGCTCTGTCATGTGCTTGGATGTTTTAGGAAACAAAGCCTTCTGGGAACTTACATCCACGAGAGGAACTAGCGTAGTTATCAGTATAGGCAACCAGATTGTTAATGTGTTAGGGAAAGTGACTAGGGCTGTGCAATGAAGTAAAAGCAGAGCCGGATGAGGCAGCTGAGGAGGAGCTGGTTTGGGCGGTTGGGGGCTTTGAGGGCAGGTTTTCACCAGTGCTGTTTAGGAACATTTGTATTTGTTCTTTCACCTGTAATCTCTGTGTTTGGCTAAACTTGAATGCCAGCTGTAGCCATTTATCCAGTCTGAGGTTCCAAAACCAACTCTCTTCCCCAGTAGCTTACCTTTTTGAAGTAATGGGGATTGGATGCAGGACCTTCCATATACTGGACATGTACCACACTGAGCCACATCCTTAACCCCCAAATAATCCTTAGAACAAACCGACATCAACCTCCTTTAGCATTGTTTTTGGAAGATCAAATGATGAAAAGTTAATGAAATTTGAAGCATGATGCCACTGAAGGAGAATATAGTGAATACTGGTGTGCCCCTCCCCCCAATACAATTCTGTGAAATATGCCCTATTAGGATGACCTTTTTATTGGTTATTGTTTGTAATGTGTAAGTTTAAGCTCTACTGTAATCTAATATACTGGAAAATAAAATATTTAAGCTGGAGGACTTGTGGGTCTGCCCTAGGCTCTGTCTGCCCATGCCGATTGATGTGGTCTACACTTGGGTGAATGGCACGGATATGGAACTCCTGAAGGAGCTGCAACAGGTCAGAGAGCAGATGGAGGAGGAGCAGAAAGCAATGAGGTAAAACTAGTTCTCAGAAGAAACAAACGCATGTATGTTGCCCCTTATTCAAGAAGGTAAGGGTATTTGCGCAGTGCTGTCCAGAGATCTTCCCTTCACATTCACAGAGTTAGATTCAGGCAGTCATCCACCTGACCTCTGGTGACTAAGGAGGCCCAGTCTCTTCTGCCACATGCTGGCCTCACTTTGTTTAGTGACTGGTTCCTAAGGGGTCTAAAGTGGCGACTGTGGGCGTCCTGGGCTAACTGCTTTCTCATCTGAGTCTCAGATTTTGTATCTTCATGAAATAAATATTTACACAAAATAGCTAAGAGGTTCTATTGAAAAATAAAATAGGTCCTAGCATTGTTTACATTTAATAGATACACTTGAGGCTGGGTACTGATAGCTCGTGCCTGTAATCCTAGCTACTCAGGAGGCTGAGATCTGAGCATCATAGTTCGAAGCCATCTTGGGCAGAAAAATCTGTGAGACTCTTATCTCTAAAAAACTACTCAGAAAAAGTGAAAAATTGCACTGACGCTCAAGTGGTAGAGCTCTAACCTTGAGCAAATAAGCACAGTGATAGTACCCAGGTTCTGAGTTCAAGCCTCAGGATTGGTGTGTGTATGTATGCGTGCGCGTGTGCGTGTGAGTGAGCGGTGCACATGATATACTTGAAAGAATGTTTCCTCTTAACTTTTTTCTTCAAATCATGGAGTATGGAATGAGAAGCTTTGACACTTAGTTGAAGATGTGACTTAGTTGTTGAACTTGTTTAGGAAAGCAACAGCAGCTTCTGGAGAAACGTCAAAGCTGGGTTACTGGCTGGCTCTCCTCTCCTCAAGAGTATTTACTGGGAACATACTCATTCACTTCTTTTTTTAAAGCACATTAATTGTACAAAGGAAAGTTACTGTGATTTTCCATTTACACATATAATGTACTTTGATCTCATTCACACCCCCTCCCCCCCCCCGCCCCCCCCCCCCCCCCCCCCCCCCCCGCCCCACTAATGCTCTTTCTCCATTCAATTTATAAATGCCACAGATGCACCCCAGTGGCAGGTCCAGATCGTTGACTCAGGCTGTGGCAGATTTTCTCTGTTAGGGAATTAAAGACCTTCCCTATGCTTGAAAATGTTCTGTGTTTAGTAGTTGATATTTTAAGAGAACTGTCTTGGTTCCAGTGGGAGGTACAGTTTTGTTTATAATATTTCATTGGAGCATAATTTATTTGCACTTAAAACATGTAGGCACATAATGCTTCCAACATGTTCCAGTGGAATAAGCAGGACATTTAACTTCATAAATTCCCTCTTCAACAAACTGTATTTCCTTTTCATTAGAGAAATCCTTGGGAAGAATGTAACAGAGCCAACGAAGAAGAGGTAAGCCTTTCAATTCCTTCTCAACGAGAAACATTCAAGTACAAAGTGAAATTTAAAGAATATCATTTGTTTTTGCTGAATACATATATTTCATACTTTTTTTGTTTGTTTTTTTTGTGATCCTGGGGCTTGAACTTGGGGCCTGTGCACTGTCCTTGAGCTTTTTTTGCTCAAGGCTAGCACTCTTGTCACTGAACCACAGCTCCACTTCTGGCAATTTTTGGTGGTTAATTGGAGATAAGAGTCTCACAGATTTCCTGCTTGGGCTGGCTTTGAACCTTAATCCTTAGATCTCAGCCTCCTGAGTAGCTAGGATTATAGGTATGAGCCACTGGCACCTGACTTGTGCTTTTATTTATTTATTTTTATTTTTTTTTATAGTGACAGTGTCTTGCCATGTAACCTACACTGTCCTGGAGTTAGTAATCCTCCTGCCTCAGCCTTCTGTATTACAGGCCTGCACCCTTATACCCAGCTTAATACTGTTAAAAAAAATCACTTTTTAATTATTTAAATAAAATTGTGCAACATTGCAGGAAGGTTGGGGATAAACATATATCTTTCTATGACCTCCATTCCACAATTAACATTTTTGTATTCTTTTCATGCATATTTTAATAGTTATAGTTTATAATCTGTACAATTTGTATCTTTTACTTTTACTTTTTTTTTTGGTCCATCATGGGGCTTGAACTCTGGGCCTGGGCACTGTCCCTCAGCTCTTCAGCTCAAGCTCTCTACTACTTGAGCCACAGTGCCACTTTTGGTTTTCTAGTGATTTATTGGAGATAAGAGTCTCACGGACTTTCCTCCCCGGGCTGGCTTTGAACCGCGATCCTTAGATCTCAGCCTCCTGAGTAGCTAGGATTACAGACGTGAGCCACCAGCCCCCTGCTTGTATCTTTTATTTTTATGTTAATATCTTCCTGCTTCATACTTTTCAATATATATGGACACATGAGTGTTACATATGACATGCCTATATATTTCCAAATTGCTTTTCCCAAGAGTTCTTTCTTACTAAAGGTAGCGAGGCCAGCCATGGTTCAGGTACAGCAGATTTCCTGTAATTTCAGTACTTACAGCTTGAAAATTCTATAGAATTTGATGTTTGTTAATATTATACTTTGCTAACTAATACTATACTTTGCTAACTGGCTACATTTTTTTTTTAATTGTGAAAATACTGTACAGAGGGGTTACAATTACATGGGCAAGATAATGAGTACATTTCTTACCAAGCATTGTAGCCTCCTCCTTGGTTTCCCCTTCCCATCCCTTCCCTCCCTCCCCCCCTGCCCGCCCCGCCCCCCCATCCTTCCCACTCCCCCCACCCCCCCCCACCAAAGTTAACTGGCTACATTTTTATATCTTTATAATTTTTATATCTTTATAATATTATACTTTGCTAACTAATACTTGGCTAACTGGCTACATTTTATATCTTTGAGCTAAAACTTCATACTTTATTAAATTATCTTTTTTTCTTTTTTTAACATAGACTAAAGAAAAAAATTCTGCAAAACATCTGATGTGTTTTTGTTGTAGTGGCGACAGGGTTGTCACTGTTGATTAGGTCTCAGGGATGAACTTGTGGGCCTGTTGGTTTTGTTTTACAGCGAGAAGCCGTTGGAATGTCTGCTGACGCACTGCGTTAAGGTGCCGATGCTTGTCCTCGACCCACCCCTGCCACCCAACTGCACCCTCAAGGACCTGCCATCTCTTTATCCTTCTTTTCACTCTGCCAGTGATATATTCAATGTTGCAAAACCAAAAAACCCTTCCACTAACCTTTCGGTGGTTGTCTTCGACAGTACCAAGGAGGGTAAGATGGTTTTGTGGATATTCTTAAGTCATGTTATCACTGACACGTGGGTAACAAAATTCTCCATGGAGTGGAAGTTAGTCATTGTTACAGAAATGTCTGAGAAACTGAAAATGCACAAAGAGAAACCTAGAGTGTCATTGTACTGTCCTTGTATGTCGTGCCTAACTTCAGGAAAAGATATGTATCTTTCACTTTATACCCGTTTGTTGTGCTGAGTATGGGGTGAGGACCATCAGTGCAGAACTCACAGTTACATCATTGACTTGGCTGTCAGTTACTCTCCAGGCTATTTTTCTACTGTGGGACTCTTCAACCAGGTTGTTTTCTGAAGTTGTGGTGGACACCCAAAACACTGAAACTTCCCCTTCTGAAACATCTGGTTAAACAGGTGTTCTGGTCTGAATGTTTGTCTTGCCCTAAGGACTTGAGTGTGGAAATCCTAACCCTCACTGTAATGGCTTTGGGTGGTGATTAGGACTTGAAGGGTGAGCTCTCGTGGAAGGGCTTAGGGCCCTTATGAAAGAGACCCAGAGACTCCCTCTGCCTCTGTCCTAGGAGGGAGCTGTGAGGTCACCATCTGTAATGTGTAAGAGACAGGGCTTACTATCTACTCTGAGGTAGCCTCGTTAGTTCTCCTTAGCTACCTGAGTATGGGATTTTAGGTGTGCACTACTATGCTTGGCTTCATATAGCTTTCTTACACAGATCATAGAGAAATGGTCATAGAGAAATGATGTAATCCTTCTTGCACGTTATTTCTTTTCATTCTAGGTCTCTTCCTTCTTTTATCTCTTGATCTTAGATTGCTCTTCTCAGACTACTTTTAAAATGGGTCTCCTAGGCTGCAGCTGTGGCTCAGTGTTAGACTGCTTGCCTGGCTGAACAAGTCATGGGGCCTGAACTCTGGGCCTGGGCGCTGTCCCTCAGCTCTTCAGCTCAAGGCGAGCGCTCTACCACTTGAGCCACAGCGCCACTTCCAGCTTTTTTCTTTTTGCTTATGTGGTGCTGAGGAATCGAACCCAGGGCCTCAAGCATGCAAGGCAAGCGCTCTACCACTGAGCCACCTTCCCAGCCCCTCAATTCAGTTTTTTGCACTGCAAAAATACAAAATGTGTGAACTAGAAGTGAGCATTCTATTCCATGTGGTTGAATATGCGCCAGGAAAGCAGACCTGCCTCAGCCTGTTCATCCAACAGTAGTTCGTTCAGTGCCTACCATCCACACAAGACTTTCCCCAGTGAGCACATGGATGAGAGGCTTCCCCTCCCCCACCCATGGAGTTTACAAAGGAAAAATAGGTAAATGAACACAGATAAGTCAGATAAACAATCTACAAAAGATAACTCGTGTAGTGAGCACTGAGCTGGGGAAGCAGGAGAAGAATGGCTGTCAGGGAGAGCAGGTGGAAACTCCAAATTGAGTCATAGGAGCAGGCCTCCCCAAGGTGAATTTTGAGTTGAAAATGTGGACCAAGTGAGGGGTCCAGCTGCACAAATATCTGCAGCGTGATCTGGAGAAGTAGAATGGCTGGTATAAAGGCCCTGAGGCAGGAATGTGTCTGGCAGGTTTGATGAAGATGAGGAGATGAGCTTAGAGAAGTAACAGGAGATGGGGATGGGACAACTGTGTAAGCCCTAGTAGCCCCTTGATTCATGCCTTTGAAGTGAACACATATTCCTAATACCCAGTGCCTCTTTTAAAGGCAAATGGCATATTTCAGAGCCTGCCTTTCTTTAGCTCACTCACATTCTGTGTGCTGGTGTTCCACCTCAGAGCTTCCCCGGTAAGCTGTACACACAGCCCCCAGTGTATACGTATGTATATCTAAGTAGGTGTGGAAAGCAGTTACCACTCCATATGACAGTTTGTAAATGCACTGCATCTCGATCAGTGTCACCTGTTTCGTCATTCACCACCATTCCTCTCATTCCGGTTTTCCTCTCAGTTTTCCTAGTTTCATTGGACATGCATTGACTATTTTTGTTTTGCTTTTGTCAGTCATGGGGATTGAACTCTGGGTCTGGGCACTGTCCCTCAGCTCTTCAGCTCAAAGTGAGTGCTCTTACTGCTTGAGCCACAGCTCTATTTCCAGTTTTCTGGAGGTTTATTGGAGATAAGAGTCTCATGGATGCTCCTGCCCAGCTGGCTTTGAACTGCAATCCTCAGATCTCAGCCTTCAGCCTTCTGAGTAGCTAGGATTACAGCTGTGAGCCACCGGCGCCCAGCTGCATTGACTATTACAACTGCATTCTTCCACCTTTATTTCTTGATAGTACACTTGAGACTTGTCCATCGTGGCCATATACTTACCCAGGCTACAGTTTGCAGAATCTGCCTTCTTTGCTTGTCTTGGAAATCAGAATCAGAGCCTCCCTCACCTCTCTCTCCTGTTTTCCTCCATCCTAGGTGTCAGCAGCCATTTACCCAATCACTGTCCTCTTCAGACTTCTCTATGCTCCTCTCCTCATACTTCTCTCCAAGTTGGGCTGAGTCCTCCCCACCTGGCCAGCCTGCTGTCTTCACCACCAGATGAATTTGCTTGCTCGCTCTCTCTCGCTCTCTCTCGCTCTCTTTCTCTCCTCCCTCTCTCTCTCCCTCTCTCTCATCCTCTCCCTCTCCCTCTCCCTCTCTCTCCCTCTCTCTCTCTCTCTCTCTCTCTCTCTCTCTCTCTTTCTTGTCAGTCCTGGGACTTGAACTCAGGGCCTGGGCACTATCACTGAGCTTCTTTTGTGCAAGACTAGCACTCTACCACTTAAGCCACAGCGCCACTTCAAGCTTTTTCTGTGTATGTGGTACTGAGGAATTGAACCCAGAGCTTCATGCCTGCCCAGGCAAGCACTTGACCACTAAGCCACATTCCCAGCCCCAGATGAATTTTAAACATGAGAAAATTGCTATTTATGGGGACACAGCTCTATAGACTCCCAGCCAGTTACATAATGCTGCTCCCCGGTGTTCAGGAGCTCCCTTGATCTGCTTTCCCAAAGGTTTTGCTCTAGTCACTTTTCCTTCTCAACTTGATCCATTTTTGCCCTGGCATCTGGGATTTCTGTCATCCTGCCATTTCTTTGAGATTGAGGCAGAATTTGATTCTTCCTATAAACCATTCCACATTCTGCTCCTTGGTAAAGCAGCTATTAAGGCTTAACTCTATGCTGATTTGCATTGTTCCTCCTTTGCTGGATGTGCTAAGTCCCCTCCTTGAACTACGTGTGTGTGTGTGTGTGTGTGTGTGTGAGTGTGTGTGTGTGTGTGTGTGTGTGTGTGTGTGTGTTGTGGGGCTTGAACTCTGTGTGTGTGTGTGTGTTGTGGGGCTTGAACTCTGAGCCTGGGTGCTGTCCCTGAGCTTTTCACTCAAGGCGAGCACTCTTACCACAGCTCTACTTTCAGTTTTCTGGCGGTTATTGAAGATAAGAGTCTTATGGACTTTCTTGCTGGGGCTGGCTTTGAACCGTGATTCCCTAGATCTCAGCCTCCTGAGCAGCTAGGATTATAGGCGTGAGCCATGAGGGCTTGGCCAACTACCATTTTATGAAACTGTGTATTATTGGTTTGCACAGTGTTCTGTGGGATAGCGTAGTTAAGTATTAAAATATGATTGTTTCCTGACATGAGTGGATCAGCTTACATGCAATATTTAGTGCTTTGATGCTTCTTTTTTTTTTTTTGATGATGTTGTTGTGGGTTTTTTCCCCTTTGGAAAGATGGGCAATATTTTATTTGAACAGATACAGAAAGAACTCCCAAGAAATTAATTTTGAAATAAAAGAACTATGTACTAATATATAAATGGGCAATTCATAACTGTACCTTTTAGGACATTTTGAAAATCTGTTTATAGGTACAGAGCAATGAGTTTTGTTGAACCAAACCACACTTATACTGGCAGATAATTTTTTTTGTAATTAGTAGGAATTTTATTGGTTCGTTAAAATTGACAAACTCAGCTGGGCACCAGTGGCTCCCGCCTGTAATCCTAGCTGCTCAGGAAACTGAGATCTGAGGATCACGGTTCAAAGCCAGCTTGGGGGGACTGGGAAGGTAGCTCAGTGGTAGAGTGCTTGCCTTGCATGCATGAGGCTTTGGGTCGATTTCCTCAGCACCACATAAGCAGAAAAAGCCGGAAGTGGCTCTATGGCTCAAGTGGTAGAGTGCTAGCCTTAAGCTGAAGAGCTGAGGGGCATTGCCCAGGCCCAGAGTTCAGGCCCCATGACCAACAAAAAAAAAAAAAACAACCAAAAACCCCACAAAAAACAGCCGAGGCAGGAAAGCCTGTGAGACTCTTAGTCTCTAATAAACTACTCAGAAAACCCGAAGTGGCGCTGTGCCTCAAGAGATAAAGGGCTAGCCTTGAGCTGAAGAGCTGAGGGACAGTGCCCAGGCCCAGAGTTCAAGACCCACGACCGACAAAAAATTTTTTGAAAATTGACAAACTCAGCCTCCCTCAAATGTAAATAAAATGTTTATTATATTCTTTATTGTAGTTGAAGATGCCCATGCTGAACTGTTTAAAGGAAACAGCAGACAGACAGTTTGGAGGGGTTACTTGGTATGTCATCATTTTGAATTCTAATTGTAGTTTGTATTAGGCTAGTATGAATATACAAAATGAGAAAGTCATTTTTCTGTGAGAATTATTGTTTTTGAGACAGCCTTGTGTAGCTGGGGCTGATCTTCCTGCTTCCGCCTCCAGAGTGCTGTGTGCCACCATATTTGGCTCTTTGAGTACATTTTTCTCTGAGTTGACTTAAGTAATGGTACTCTTCTGACTTTGAAGTTTGTGTGATGCCATAGATCTTTTATCATTTCTAGGCTCTAAGTTTTCACCAGCCTAAGTTTTCACCAGTAAGTTTGTCAGCTGTAAGTTTTCACTGGTTTTATAGTGTGGAAATAAGTTGATGTGTTCCTCCCTTTAGACAACAGATAAAGAAGTCCCTGGGTTAGTGCTGATGCAAGACTTGGCCTTTCTGAGTGGATTTCCTCCAACATTCAAGGAGACAAGTCAGCTGAAGACAAAATTGCCAGAAAACCTTTCTTCTAAAATAAAGCTGGTAAGATCTTGATAAAAGAGCTGCTAGTACGGCACATCTCCTTACTGCCCAACCCTTCCCTCATGGCGCATTTTGTTCCAAGTATAACCAGTAGTTAAAAGGCAAAGAGCCATTTTAGTTTTCACCCGTCGTTATAAGGCTCTGGATGCTAGATTCTCACTGGTTCCTTTTTTTTTTTTTTAGCCATGGGGCTTGAACTCTGGGACTGGGCACTGTCCCTCAGCTCTATAGCTGAAAGCTAGTGCTCTACCATTTGAGCCACAGAACCACGTCTGGTTTTCTGGTGGTTAATTGAGATAAGAGTCTCACAGACTTTCCTGCCCGGGCTGGCTTGGAATCGTGATCTTCAGATCTTAGTAGCTAGGATTACAGGCGTGAGATACCAGCGCCCGGCTATATTTAGAATTTTTGTTTAGGCCTTCAAGTGTGCCATTTGTTTGGGTTGGCTTTGGCCACTGGCCTGTGACACACCTTTTTTCCTTTATTGTTGTCACAGCCACACAGTCCACATGGGTGTGCTTTCCAGTTGACCTACGTCAATCTGCCCAGTCTTCTATCAGAAATATTCCAGGCTGTAAAACATGAATATCTTTTTCTCTTGGAGTAGAAAGTAAAGTCCTTGCCTTAGAAGTTGTTAAGTACTGGGGCTGGGAAGGTGGCTCAGTGGTAGAGCGCTTGCCTTGCATGCCTGAGGCCCTGGGTTCTATTCCTCAGCACCACATAAGCCAAAAGAAAAAAACAGTGGCGCTGTGGCTCAAGTGGTAGAGTGCTAGCCTTGAGCTGAAGAGCTGAGGGACAGCGCCCAGGCCCAGAGTTCAGGCCCCACGACCGGACCCCAAAAAAAAAAAAGTTGTTAAGCACTGGTTTTCCTGAACTGCTCTTGGAGTTCTGCCACTAGGTGTGGTGTGCCTTGTATCCACTTCCTCCTGGCCATGTGGCATCTCAGTATTTGGGCTGGGAAGATGAAGGCTGAGGTACTGGTGTAGGAACTGCAATTAAGGTTAATCAAGGTGCATTCTGTTACCCCTCCCCCTTGCCCATAGTTCTCTTTATCATGTTTCTTCTTTTACATATGTGTTTCATTGTTTAAGGTGCATTGTTTTATATTTATCATACAAGAATAATGACACTGGCATCTATACATTTTTTCCTTCAAAGCTTTCTTTGTTTACTTTGAAATATGATAGTACTCCACTATACTAAGCTTGAACTTGCCATTAATCTGAGTTTTTGATCTATTCAAAAATAGATATCTTTCCTTTCTGAGTTATTTTTAGCACTGATTTTAGGCAAATAAAGTGATAGACTAGCTTTCAGCCAAGGTTTACTTGCTTAATGATTTCGTAGCTGTTCATCCTAGAATTGTAGACGCATGTACATCTATATTGTGTATAGCTATATTTTTATCTGTCAACTCCTTTATGCAGAAAGAATGACATTTTTGGCTCTATATTTCCAATGGCAATACCTTTGTAAGAGAGAGCAGGGGTTCCTTCTAGTCTCCATCCCCTGCCGTGGTGTGAACCTCCATTGGTTCAGCTGCTCCCAGGGCTGACTCCTTCTGTTGTGTTGGCTGGTGAGTGGACTGTGCTGCCAAAAGATGCCAGTCCCACATGGTCATAGACCCCCTGCAAACCACACTTTGGTGGTGTGCTCCAAGATAAGAACCCCTCTCCAGCCGGGCATCAGTGACTCACGCCTGAAATCCTAGCTACTCAGGAGGCTAAGATCTGAGGATCGCAGTTCAAAGCCAGCCTGCAGGAACTTCCATGACACTTATCTCCAGTAAACCACTCAGAAAACCGGAAGTGGCGCTGTGGTTCAAGTGGTAGAGCATTCACCTTGAGCTGAAGAGCTCAGGGACAGCGCCCAGGCCCAGAGTTCAAAAACCCTCTCCACCATGTATTCACTCACTGTTCACCTCGTTGGGGAGTTACTTAGTGGCCAGCTTGTCTTTGTGGAGGCCAGCACCTTCGGAACGTCCGCTGTACTGTACGTGACATTCAATGCAGGTTGTGTTCCAGTTCCAGCATCTGCAGTCACCTTCAGGGACAAAGCTTTGGGATACAGGAGGTTAGAGAAAGAAAACAATAATATGTCAGGCCGTACTTTCAGGTTTTATTATGGATCCTCTGAGGTTGAAGTGTCCTATCATGGGCTTCTAATCTATTTAGATGCTGAGCATTTACTAAATTTCTCCTGTGCTACAGATAATTGAGTGGTAAAGGCACTTATGTTATTTTGAAGGCATGATCAGTTCCTAAGAGGGGATTATATAATGTGCTTAGAAAACGCCTAGCTTTAGGGCTGGGAAGGTGGCTCAGTGGTAGAGTGCTTTCCTCGCATGCATGAGGCCCTGGGTTCGATTCCTCAGCACCACATAAACAGAAAAAGCTAGAGGTGCTGCTGTGGCTCAAGTGGTAGAGTGCTAGCCTTGAGCTGAAGAGCTGAGGGACAGCGCCCAGGCCCAGAGATCAAGCCCCACGACCAACAAAAAAAAGAAAGAAAAAGAAAACACTTAGCTTTAAGCACACCAGGGGCCAAAAAGGTTTCACAGAATAGGAAAGAACCTCGCCTGGTCTTGACAGGGCTGCCATTTCCTAGGCAGAGAAGGGAGTGGGCCATTCCTTCCAATCACTGCAAGCATCCTGAGCAGAGGGGAAGTAAGTTTTTTCAGGGAGTCCAAAGGCAGCTCCTAGAGGCTAGAGCACAGGCCTGGGTTTTGCTGGGAATGGTGCTGAGCGATAAGTGAGGCCAGATTGAGAAAGGTGGAGCTACACTAAGGAGCCTGGACTCTGTCCCAGAGGCAGAGGAGCGTTTATAGCAGAAGCAGCATGCATGTGGTCTGTTAGACAGGAAGTGACTAGAGATGGGACAATCTGTTCAGCATTGTTGTCACAGCCTGAAAGTCATTCCTCTTCAGATACATTGGCAGTGGGGTGCCAGTGATGGAAATGGTTCCAGAAATATCTGCAAGATAGTCAGCATCACATGGCGACAGAAGCTGCAGGGGAGGAAGAAGAATAAAAGGGAAGAGGGTATTTTTAGTGAAGGTGGAAGTGATGGAATAATCACACTCTGAGCTGGAGGAGGTAAAGCAAGATCTGGGGTGGAAACCCAGAGCTCAGCTTGGCGTGTGTTGCATTACCAGGACATGTGGTGTGTGGGGTGGGGAGAGGCTGCTAGGCTTGGACCTCAGCACCTGAACAGCTGGGGCACTTAGCCCTTCCTGGCTTCTGCCTAGGCCTTGGCTAAGGCCTATGGCCTGGAACCTTCCAGATCTCAGTTCTGTCCCACAGAACCTTGCCAGGCTGTGAGCACCTAAGGATAAACACCTCCTCGCTCACCTTTGCAGGGAGGAGTACCTGGCACTTAAGGGGCCCCTCAAGAGATGCTCGTTGAAGGAATGAGCAAGAAGAAAGCCGTGGCTGTAAACACACCCACCATGTACAGCACCTGGGCTTGCAGAGGGGACCCTTTCAAGGACTCTGCTTATTCACAGGCACCGTGCCAGGGTTTCGGTACTAGAAATGTACCTTTAGATTAAGCTATTGTGGACATACAACTTGACTTTTATATGTCTTAGAGGAAAACTATGTTTTTCTTTTCTCCTGAGGAAAGGATATGACCCTTGAAAATGCTTTCATTTGCAACATAAGGAGTTTGAATTCATAAACACTTTTGTGTCTATCTTGTACATCTTTTTCTCTCAAAAGCTTTTCAGTTAAGAGACGCCTTGAGGCAATTCCTTTTATGATCCAATCAGTTACCTACTTAATTTCTTTAAAGAATTTTTTATGTGATAGGCACGGAAATTGCCTTAAAATTGGTGATATTATAATATATATATATATTTTTTTTTTTTTTTTAATTTATTTTTTTTTTTTTGGGTCCAGTTGCAGAGCCTGAACTCTGGGCTTGGGCGCTGTCCCTCAGCTCTTCAGCTCAAGGCTAGCACTCTACCACTTGAGCCACAGTGCCACTTTTGGCTTTTTCTGCTTACGTGGTGCTGAGGAATCTAACCCAGGGCCTCATGCATGCAAGGCAAGTGCTCTACCACTGAGCCACCTTCCCAGCCCCTCTAAGTCATTTTTTATTCATAGTAGACTTTTGTTTTTATCTTTCTTTCGGTTATCTTCTTTAACATATGCAAGATATGAGAATAGGTGGGAAGTCTTTCTCTGGCTTCAGTTAAAGTCTTGCATTCGATACAAAATAGTGTTCATGGTTGCTGAGTGGTTGTCTAAAAGAAAGCTGGGCTGGAGACTGGTATTGAAAATGCTCAGGTATTTACAATCATGAGGAGATGACTACAGATTTAGAGTTGGCCATTGATCCTTAGAGATGAAGATCTGGGTGGATCAGAGACCTGGAAGAGATGAGAGGACGGGCTGGGCCTGGAAGGCTCCATGCATCATTTATTCAGGCAGAAAGGATGAGCAATCAGAGTGGGAACTGCACGGTGTCCCGCCGGAGAGTCTCCTCACTTCAGCTTTCTGATGAAAGTCACCAGGGATGATACTACAAGTTGAATGTCCCAAGCAAAAAATCCAGAATGCTCCAAAAGCTAAAACTTTTTTTTTTTTTTTGGTCTGCCATGGGGCTTGAACTCTGGGCCTGGGCGCTCTTCAGTTCAAGGCGAGAGCTCTTCCACTTGAGCCACAGCTCCACATCTGATTTTCTGGTGGTTAATTGGAGATAAGAGTCTCATGAGCTTTCCTGCCCAGGCTGGCTCTGAACCACAATCCTCAGTCTCCTGATCTCAGTCTCCTGAGTAACTAGGATTATAAGCATGAGCTCCCAGCTCCCAGCAAGCCAAAGCTTTTGAGCATGATTATACCATAAGTGGGAAATTCCATACCTGACTTCATATGAAACTGTTTCCTTTGCAAAATTATTTTTTAAAATACTATACTATAAAATAACCTCCAGATTATGTTTATTAAGTTATATAGACCATAAATGAGATAGACTCAGTGATGGTCAAGGGTAGGACTTAGGTCAGCTCTAGCAATGGAGCAGCTTCAGGCAAAACACCAGGAAAAAAATCAGCACCAACAAGAAATGTTAAATTTTGGCCTATTTCTCTCTCTCTCTCTGTCTTTTTGTCAGTTGTGGGGCTTGAACTCAGGGCCTGGGCGCTGTCCCTGAGTCTCTTTGTGCTCAAGGCTAGTAAGTACTCTTACCACTTGAGTCACAGCACCACTTCTGGTTTTTGAGTGGTTAATTGGAGATAAGTCTCACGGGGACTGGCTGGCTCAGATCTCTGCCTCCTGAGAAACTAGGATTACAGGTATGAGCCACTGGTGCTTGGCTTAAATTTTGACCTATTTCTAACGGTAAATAACAGGCCTATCTCTCAAATATCCTCTTTCTTCTCTTGCTGCTATGCATAGGGGCTTCCTTCCTGTTGATACAGACGAGTAAAATTTACATCCCCAAATCTCATACTGAAAATAACAGCTGCGTGTCCATTGTGGGTGGGCGTGGAGGTTTTCCTTTTGAGGACACTTATCATTTAAATATTTCAGTAAGCTTATAATTTAGATGGAGGCATAATTACAGAAACTACAACCAACTCACCCTTAGCTTAGTGTCTCCTGTACATGTTCCAGTAAAAGCAATGAAGACATGCAGGATTGGGCTGCCACCTAGTGCCTAGCAGAGGCTCATTTCTGCTTTTTTGTGATAATCTTGTATTCTTCAGTGCCTTACTTCTGACAACTTCTCTTCTGCTGCTTTCTTACTTTCTCCTCATTCTCCTTCTCCTTCACCTTTTATTGATCGTGGAACTTGAACTCTGGGCCTGAGCTCTGTCCCTCAGCTCTTCAGCTCAAGGCTAGTGTTCTATCACTTTGAGCCACAGCACCACTTTCAGTTTTCTGGTTGTTAATTGGAGATAAGTCTCACAGACTTTCCTAACCAGGCTGACTTTGAACTGAACTTCTGACTATTCTTTTCCATTGATTTTATAGTTGCCAAGAGAAACTTCTTCCTGATTTTTGATGTATGTGTGTAAAGAAACCAGCCCAAGTGCAGTTGCTAATCTAGGAGTCATTTCAGTGCTGCACATTTTCAGTGAAGAAAAGGCCAACACAAGTGATGAAATAAAACTAGGTATTTGTTAGTTGCTGGTGGCTCACGCCTGTAATCCCAGCTACTAAAGAGGCTGAGATCTTAGGATCTTGGTTCAAAGCCAGCCCAGGTAGGAAAGGCCATGAAACACTTACTTCCAATAAACCACCAGAAAACTGGAAGTGGTGCTGTGGCTCAAGGGGTAGAGCGCTTGCCTTGAGCTGAAGAGTTGAGGGACAGCTCTCAGGCCCAGAGTTCAAGCCCCACGACTGACCAAAAAAAAAAACCAACTAGGTAAGTTTTTGTTGTTGTTGTTTTTTGTTTGTCAGTTGTGGGGCTTGAACTCTGGGCTTGGGCACTGTCCCTGCTCTCTTCAGCTCAAGGTGAGCACTCTACCCCTTGAGCCACAGCACCACTTTTGGTTTTCTAGTGGTTTATTGGAAATAAGAGTCTCACGGGGCTTTCCTGCCCAGGCTTGCTTTGAATCGTGATCCTCAGAGCTCAGCCTCCTGAGTAGCTAGGATTACAGGCATGAGCCACCGATGCCCAGCTTAGATATGTTTTTTTTTTTAAATTTAAAATCATGTTATAAGTAATTTTTTCCCCTCTCAGTGCTAAGGGGGACCTAGGGCTTCATACCTTAGGGAAGTGATACTCTACCTTCCATTCTCTTTTATCAGAAATTGAAAAGCTATTTTTAAAAAATCTTTTCTTTTAAAATGGTTTTTCCACATTTGATTAAAATTGAAACAAGATTGTGTTTCTCTCTGTCTTGTTTTAAAATGGAGGCCCTGGGCTTTCGTGTCCTCACAGGCCTCTGTCTACTACAGGACAGCATAAAGGCCCCACGACCAGCGAGAGCGAGAGCCTGGCTCCTGCTTGCTCTCCAGCCAGCTCCTTCCTGTGCCTTCCTTACCCAGACCCTGGCGGGAGACACCCTAAGCTAAACTACTTCCTCTCATGGAACAAGCCAAGCAGGCCACTTCTCTTGGCATCAGAAGGAGATCTCATAGAAGAATGGGTGATTCTGGCCTTTCAGGGCTTCTAGCAGCCCTGTGAGCACTGAGTAGTCACCGGGTCTGTTGCCTAAGGTGTTCCATTCACACCTTCCCCTCCTCTAAACAGCTGGTCTGTTGCATTCATCTGGGAATTGCATCTGGCCTGCTTTGCAGGCGGTTTTCTTTTGGGGAGACTGATTTCCATTTCTAGATTAAAGGTAAAGCTTTGCATTAAGATGTGTTTTCCATCTGAGGTTCGGTCTTTCCATGTATAACTCTTTGTATTATTTGCTAGTTGCAGTTGTATTCAGAGGCCAGTGTAGCCCTTCTAAAATTGAATAACCCTAAAGGTTTCCAAGAACTGAATAAACAAACTAAGAAGAATATGACCATCGATGGGAAAGAGCTGACCATAAGTCCTGCATATTTGTTATGGGATCTGAGTGCCATCAGTCAGGTAAGGGAAGAAAGAGATTCTTCTACAACTCAAGGGCATAGAGTTTACATGTCACTGTTTCAGAATACTTGCAGAGACCCGAGTTAACTGGACCTTTCCTAAATTTTCGGTCACTACCAATGGTTTAATGTTAATTGAAGTGATCCAGAATTGGATCTGAACCTTTTTGTGAAGAATGATAGTGAAGTGCTGCATGTTTGAAGGGTCTTTTTGGGTTGGTTTTTGTTTTTTTCTGTTGGTCATGGGGCTTAACAGGCCTGGGTGCTGTCCCAGAGCTTTGCAGCTCAAGGTGAGCACTCTTCCACTTGAGCCACAGTGACACTTCCGGTTTTCTGGTGGTTCGTTGGAGATGAGTCTCACAGACTTTACTGCCCAGGGTGGCTTTGAGCTGTGATCCTCAGATTTCAGCCTCCTGAGAGTAGCTAGGATTACAGGTGCCCGGTGAAGTTGTTTTTTTTTTTTTAATACCAAGTCTGACACTGTATAAACATCTGAGAACAGTATCTGTTAACCTCCATGCCAGTTGACCTACAGATAAAAGGGAGATTACAACAAGACATCATCAGTGGAAAACTTTGTAGTTCACTTATGTTTTGTTTGAATATGGACAACTAGTTTCCAATGCAATGAGTTACAAGAAATACTCTGAAAATATTTCCCTTTAGATTCATGTTCTTAGTTCATTTTATCTATAATTAAAATTAGAATGTTCTTTTTAAGTCATGATGACATTTGAAAAATAAACAAAACCATAGAAATCCCTAAAATCAACCACGCATCCCACATTTTTTTGCATTTTCCTTTTTTTCTTTTTTTTCTTTTGTCAGTCATGGAGTTTGAACTCTGGGCCTGAGCACTGCACCCTGAGCTTTTCAGCTCAAGGGAAGCTCTCTACCCCTTGAGCCACAGCAGCACTTCCAATTTTCTGGTGGTTTATCGGAGATAAGAATCTCACTGACTTTGCTGGCCTGGCTGGCTTTGAACCACGATCCTCAGATCTCAGCCTCCTGAGTAGCTAGGATTACAGGTGTGAACCACCAGCACCCAGCTGTATTTTCTTATGATGTTAACTATTAGGACCTCTTTGAAATTGATCAGAGCACCTTGAGAGCAGAGGGGGTTAATTAGTGGGAAGATGAGAAGGAGGGGGGGGTTGGGAAGAGGAGGATATGTGATGTCAAGGTATTTTGCATGCTTATGTGCTGAATGTTTCTCCCAGTCCAAGCAGGATGAAGACGTTTCTGCCAGTCGTTTTGAAGATAATGAAGAGCTGAGATACTCATTGCGATCTATTGAGAAACATGCACCATGGGTTCGGAATATTTTTATTGTCACCAATGGGCAGATTCCTTCCTGGCTGAACCTTGACAATCCTCGAGTGACAATAGTAACACACCAGGTAAATGCCTTTTCACATGTGGTGAGTATGTGGCTTCCTAGCTTTTGTTGCTCCTTGGTTTTGCAATACTGGAGTTTGAACTCAGTGCCTCAGTCAGGCATGCAAGGCAGGCACTCTGCCATGAGACCTACAACTCCAGCCCATATTCTGTTCTTTAATGTGGTACAAAGATCATATACTTTAATTTCCCTCACCCTTCCTACCTGCTGTCTTGAATTCACGGCGACGCACCCTAGCTTGACTTTTTTGCTCAAGGCCAGTGCTGTACCACTTGATCCACACTACCATTTCCATGTTGCTGATTAATTGGAAATAAGAATCTCACAAGCTTGTCCACTGGAGCTGGCTTTGAACTTCAGTCCTCAAACCCTGGTCTCCTGAGTAGTTAGGAATACAGACATGAACCATTGGCACTTGTCTTCCATCTTTCCTCTTTCATTGTTTTCCTTCCTTTGCTTCTAAAAACCAAATCAGCTCTCGCTCATCCTTTCTCTCTCTTACACTTGTGTATTCCTTTTTTTCTGCTAAAAGGATGTTTTTCGGAATTTGAGCCACTTGCCTACTTTTAGTTCACCTGCTATTGAAAGTCACATTCATCGCATTGAAGGGCTGTCACAGAAGTTTATTTACCTAAATGATGATGTCATGTTTGGGAAAGATGTCTGGCCAGATGATTTTTACAGCCACTCCAAAGGTCAGAAGGTGAGTGCCTACAGGAGGGAATGCCTAGCTTGATTTATATTAGCTATCTATAGTTTATTGGAGATAAGAATCTCATAGACTTTCCTGCCCAGGCTGGCTTTAAACTGTGATCCTCAGATCTCAATATCCTGAGTAGCATGAGCCACTGGTGCCTGGCTTTCTATTTATTTTTTAGATAGTTATAGGGCTTTCCCTGAGCTCTTTTGCTCAAGGTTAGTGCTCTACCACTTGAGCTACAGTGTCACTTCTGGCTTTTTTGGAGTAGTGTATTAGAGATAAGAGTCATGGACTTTCCTGCCAGACTGGCTTCAAACCATGATCCTCAGATCTCACCCTTCTGAGTCACTAGGATTACAGGCATGAGCCACCAGCACCTGTCTTTGTGATATATATGCATATATATTTTTTTCTTTTACATTTTATCATATAACAAAATTACTTTGCACATTGTAGTTAGGGTGGCAACAAAATGACCGACATGGAAAGGTATGGGTGAAGTGTCATGTGAGGTAAGGTGGCCTCTCTACTCAGGCTTTGCTAAGAGGCAGGTAGAAAGGTGTCAAGAGCACAAGGGCCAGAACAGCTGTTTAGGGTCATTTGGGGCAATGATTTGACCCTGTGTTTTCCATCCACCTGGTGGTAAGAAAACCACAATGGCTCAATAGCATTTTGTTTTTTTTTTTAAAGCGAAACCTAGTGATCAGTTAGAAGCTTATTGCCATGACCCGTGGCTTACCAGTCTCTGTGGTTGAGTGTCAGTGCTGATAGAACACCACAACTTTGTTGGTTTGTGCCACCCACTGGCTCAGTCTTACTCTGTTCACTTGTCTCCTCCACGTTGGATTGTTGGGTGGCTGGGAAGTTGACTTCGTGGCATAGCAGAGGACAGAGAACAATAATCAGCGAGTATGCTGTGCTGTGCTTTCTGTGCCGAAGGTGAGGGTTCAGTGTGAGGTAGGGAGACCCCCTTCTGAATTGACAGTTATTCAGAAGAACAAATAAACTTCCTTTTAGGTAAGGAAAAATAATCAAAAGTGGTGGCATGTATAGCAGCACAGAGACTTCAAAGGGGGAGACCTCCCATCTTTATTTTCATGATTTTAGCATTAAAAGTAACCAGGCATCCCTCACTCATCTGAAGAGCTCAACATGTGCAGGGCCTGATGCGTGGAGATAAAAGCTCTCTTCCAGCTTTTCGACTACACAGGGCATAAGTATACTTAGGGTTACTTGAGAGTTGTCACGGTGACTTACCAAGGGTACTCCCCATGCTTGGTGGCTGCTTTATTTCAGAGGAAGTTGTGAGAGCATGTTGTGAGAACCAAATGTGTGAGCTGAGTCCCCGTCTGCTGTTCTTGAGTCATAGGAGACAGGAATGTGCTGTGCTGAGCTCAGGCAATACCTTGGGGATCAGAGTGCTGTGGCGGGCACCGCCAGCTGAAAGCAAGCATGAGTGCAGACCCTCAGCGCTTAGAAAACAGCATTTGAAAACATTATGCAATTTTTTTAAGAAGGAATTCTAGCTTGAGACTAGAAGTACCAAAGCTCACTCTCTCTTACAGGTTTACTTGACGTGGCCCGTGCCGAACTGTGCCGAGGGCTGCCCAGGCTCCTGGATTAAAGATGGCTACTGTGATAAGGCTTGTAATAATTCAGCCTGTGATTGGGATGGTGGTGATTGCTCTGGTAAGGTTTGCTTCAAGTTTACTTTCACAGAGCTGTTCTCAGTCTAACTTTGAATCATGACTGAACATGTATATACCGACTGTTGCCTTATCTAAGCCATGCATGGAAGTACATCAGGAAGCATAGAATCATGGGAGGTGGTAGTCAGTTTCTATGTGGTTCAGGTTTTGTTTTTTTTTTTTTTTATATATATATATTCCTGTCAAGGGCATTTTCTCATGTTGGTTTTGCACTTGAAAAATCTTTATGTGTATGTTTGTTTTTGGGACTGGGGCTTTAATTCAGGGCCTGGTGCTCTCTGAGATTTTTGTTGTTGTTGTTCATGGCTGGTACTCTACCACTTGAGCTATAGCTCTGCTTCCAGCATTTTGCCGTGTAATTAGAGATAAGCATGTCATGGACTTTCCTGCCAAGGAAGCTTCAAACCAGGATCTTCAGATCTCAATTTCCTGAGTGGCTAGGATTATAGGCATGAGCCACCAGTGCCCAGTGAAAAATCCTTTTCATATTGTGAGGATTCTCTTAATTATTCAAACCCAAGTGCGAATCACTGTACCTGGCTGCGTTCAGCAGCAGGTTGCAGTAGTAGGTTGTGGAACGCAATGCGGAAGAGTACCTATCTTACCTCCTGCAAGCTCTTCTCCCTTCTCACACATTTATACTCAGACTTGTTGATAATAACGTCTACATTTACTCACTGCCATTCAGTATATAAAGCACTAAAGTATAGAGCTTCATTCATTACCTGTGTGAGCTTTTTGGTCACCTGAGAAATAGACCATGTGTGCACCAGTATTAACTGTCTTCATGTGCCTGTGAGAAAACAGGTTGGGAAATGTGTTGACTATTAGAAGAAAAACAGGGCTTCAAGCTGGATTTCAGTCAGTTTTGTCTGACTTTTATGAAGCACAAGCAGCTGTAGGGAGAGAACACAGATGTGCTAAATAGGTGTGTGTGGGGGTCACAAAACCACCCCTAGTGGAACGTTAAAATCTAATTCAGACTTGGTTTTGGCAGTTCCGATAGTCGCAGTCCTTGACACAGACACCCTTCCACTTGATCTCTGCCCCAGTCCAGTCCTTAAAATAATCTCTTCTTGCTCCCCACTTCCCCTTGCCTATCTTTCCCCATTACCATCACCACACAAATCTGAGTCCTGGTCTCTTTTCAGTTTGTTCATTTATCAGAAAGTTTGTCTCTAGCCTGACCTTGAACCATGATCCTCCTGATCTCTGCTGCTCCTGTACCTAGAATTATAGGCACGAACCACCGGTACCCAGCTGAGACGAACCTTTTCTGCCTGTAGTTCATATATCAATCCCGCAGACGTTAGTAAGAAAGGAAAAATTGTTTTTTGTTGTTGTTGTTGTTTGTTTGTTTCCAAAATTGTAAGCCCAGGAAACATTCTGTCTTCCCCTCTTCCCCTGCAGGTAACAATGGAGGCAGTCGCTATGTTGCAGGAGGTGGGGGTACCGGAAGTATTGGGATTGGACAGCCCTGGCAGTTTGGAGGAGGAATAACCAGCGTCTCTTACTGTAACCAAGGCTGTGCAAATTCCTGGCTTGCTGACAAATTCTGTGACCAAGCCTGCAATGTCTTGCCCTGTGGGTTTGATGCTGGTGACTGTGGACAAGGTATGTTTATGGTCATGAAACATATTATTAAAAAAAAGGGGGGGGGAATCTTTGACAAATATAGGAGCAAAACTGATTATTCTCTATGTATTTTTTTTTCTTGGCCTTGCATCCAAACTAGTAGTGACTTCTTATTTCTCTCCTTTCCCTTTTATTAGTATACATTAAACGTTCAGAGGTTTCATTGTGGTATTTCCATAATATATGCATATACTGTTCTCTGTTACCTGTTTCTGTTGCCCTTTGTTAACCTCTTCCTCCTACTCCCCTCCCTTTTTTTTTTTTGCTCATTATAGGCCTTGAACTTAAGGTCTGGGCACTGTTCCTGAGCTCTTTTAGTAGTAGGCTAGTACTCTACCACTTGGAGGCACTTCCAGTTTTCTGGTGGTTCATTGGAGATAAGAGTCTTGTGGACTTTCCTGCCTGGGCTGGCTTTAAACTACGATCCTTTGATGGCAGCCTCCTGAGTAGCTAGGATTACAGGCATAAGCTACCAGTGCCTGGCTCCTCACCCCCTTTTATTTAATAATAAATAAATAAATTTATTTTATTTTATTTTTTTTAAGGTGATGTACAGAGGGATTACAGTTACATAAGTAAAGTAGTGATTGCGTTTCTTGTCCTCACCCCTTTTTAAAAGCAATTTTATTGAGTTTGAGTTCTGTTTTCATACATGCTTATAAAATACTTTGATCATATTTATATGCCCTTCACTCTCTCATTTAGTTCCCATGCCCAGACAGTCCCCATTTTTCTTCTGTATTTGAGAGGGAACATGTGGTATTTGTCTTTGTTGGGCTCATTTCACTTAACATGATGATTTCTGGTTTAATTATTTTCCTGCAAACTATATAATTTCATTCTTCTTTATGATTGAATAACACTCTATGTATGTTTATCAACATGCAGATATCTTTTTTTTTTTGGTTGGTCATGGGGCCTGAACTCTGGGCCTAGGTGCTGTCCCTCAACTCTTCAGCTCAAGGCTAGTGCTCTACCGCTTGAGCCACAGCACCATTTCTGCTTTTTCTGGTTATATGGTGCCGAGGAATCGAATCCAGGGCCTCATGCATGCAAGGCAAGTACTCTACCACTGAGACAACTTCCCAGCCTGCAGATGTCTTTTTTATGCTCCCTCTCATCTATTTATGTATGCCAGTACTGGAACTTGAATCCAGAGCTGGTTTTTTCACTCAGATCTGGCACTCTGCCACTTGAACCACACCTCCAGTTCTAGATGCTTTCTGTCTAATAGGAGATAAAGAATGTCATGATCTGCACGTGCTGGGTTTGAACCACGATCCTTAGATGGCATATTCCTGGCTAGCTATGAGCCATTCACTAGACATGAGCCACTCACACCTGGCTATTTTTTTTTTTTTTGAGGAGCCTTCATACCGATTTTTATAGTAGTTGCATTAATTCACACTAACCACCACTCTTTCTCACCACACTCCCTGCATCCAAACCAGCATTTAAACCAGCATTTATACTTGTTTTATTGATGATTGCCATACTGGAATGACAGAATCTCAATGATTTCCCCCCTCCCCCCCAGTGTATTTTTGGTCTGTATTTCCTTTATGGCTAATGGTGTATAATTTTTATGTGTTTATTAGCCACCTGTACTTTCATTTTCTATTTATTTTATTTCATTTCATTTGTTTCTTTTCTATTTTTTTGGCAGTACTGGGGTTTGGCCACAGGACTCCCCATTTTCTAGGCAAGCTTTCTACCACTTGAGCCATGTCCCCAACCAAGCCCTGTTACTTCCTCTTTGAAAGCTTTCCATTCAATTAGTAAGTTCATTTGTCAGTTGGATTATTTGTTCTCTCCATATTTAATGTTTGGAGTTCTTTTTATTTTTGGATATTGTTTATTCAATGAATAGCTAGTAAAAATTTTTTCCCAGATTTTCTGTCACTGTCATATTTCTTGAGTATAGTAATTATTTTCTTTGTTATATAAAATTTTTTTAATTCGATTCAATCCCATTTATTTTTACTGTTAATATCTTAAGCAATTGGAATCTTATTTAGAAAGGTATTATCTATGCATCTATTTTCAAGACTCTTCCCTATATCTATTTCCTCTATTAGTTTTAAAGATTCAGATGTTAAATTTAGATTTTTTTTCCCTATTTATATATTTTTGTTTGTTTTTTTCTTTTGCTTTATGTTGCTTTGGCAAGAATTCAAGAACTGCATTGAATACAAGTGGAGAGGTGGACACCCTTGTCTCCTTTTCTATTTCTTTCTTAGTATTATTTGGCATACACACCCAAAATAAAATTATTTTATTAAATTCTATTTTTATGGCCTATTAATTTGTAAAATAAAATCAAAGAAGTGGCATTACATCCAGTTGCATTACTCCATGGTAAAAATATTCATGTGATTATCTGTCCTTTTTTTTTTTTTTTTTTGGTCAGTCATGAGGCTTGAACTCTGGGCCTAGGTACCATCCCTGAGCTCTTCAGCTCAAGGCAAGCAAGCACTCTACCACTTGAGCACAGCACCACTTCCGTTTTTCTGGTGGTTAATTAGAGATAAGAGCCTCATGGACTTTGCTGCCCAAGGCTGGCTTTGAACTATGATCCTCAGATCTCAGTCTCTTGAGTAGCTAGGATTACAGTCATGATCCACCAGCACCCGACTCTGTCCATTTCTTTATTTCATTCTTGACAAAAATGGTTTCGTTTTTCTCCTCATTTAGTATGCTGTTGGATATAGATTTATCATATAAAGCCCATAGTACGTTGAGGCCCATTCTATTCCTCAAGCTAGTTGTAACCTAACAGATGATACAGCTCTTGAGGAAATAGATATTACTTCTAAGTAATACCTTTTTTAAGAAAAAAAAAAAATGAATTTAAGCCGGATGCCAGTAGCTCACGCCTGTAATCCTAGCTACTCAGGAGGCTGAGATCTGAGGATCCCGGTTCAAAGCCAGCCCAGGCAAGAAAGTCCGTGAGACTCTTATCTCCAATAAACCACTAGGAAACTGGAAGTGGCGCTGTGGCTCAAGCGGTAGAGCGCTTGCCTTGAGCTGAAGAGCGCAGGAACAACGCCCAAGCCCAGAGTTCAAGCCCCACGACCAAAAAAAAAAAAATTTTAATTAAGAGGCTGGGAAGGTGGCTCAGTGGTAGAGTGCTTGCCTCATATGCATGAGGCCCTTGGTTTGATTCATCAGCACCACATAAACAGAAAAAGCTGGAAGTGACGCTGTGGCTAAAGTGATAGAGCACTAGCCTTGAGCTGAAGAGCTCAGGGACAGCGCCCAGGCCCAGAGTTCAAGCCCCACAACTGACCAAAAAAAAAAAAGAATTTAAGTGAGGTTTTAATTTGCAAAAAGGAGAGCTATTATTCTTTAAATAAGGATGCTTTGAATACTGGATCTTGTTACTAGTAGCGTTCATTTTGACTGAAAGATTTTGTTTTGCTTTTAACATGGACAAAAAAAGCCATGGAAATTGTTAATGGGAATTTATTGTTACAAATCATGCCATGAATCAGGGTTAGCATCCCTGTAGATGACTTCCTCAGAGTGTGTGCAAATCCTCAAAGCTTTGTATTACTATTTCTGATCATTTTAAAGTCACCCTTAAACCTCTAATCCAAAGAATTAAGGAAAGGGGAGTAAAATTGCCTAATTAAAAAAAACCAAAAACCTGTGTTTTTTTTACCCTAGATCATTTTCATGAGATGTATAAAGTAACTCTTCACCCAAACCAGACTCACTATGTTGTCCCAAAAGGTGAATACCTGCCTTACTTCAGCTTTGCAGAAATGGCAAAAAGAGCTGTGGAAGGTGCCTATGGGGATAATCCAATAATTCGACATGCTTCTATTGCCAATAAGTGGAAAACTATTCACCTCATAATGCACCGTGGAATGAACGCCACCACGATACACTTTAATATCACATTTCAAAATACAAATGATGAAGAGTTCAAAGTCCAGATCGTAGTAGACGTGGACACAAGAGAAGGACCAAAACTGAACGCTACAACTCTGAAGTCTTATGAAACCTTAGCTAGCACTGTGACACTTCTTCCAGAGGCAGAGATCCCTTTTGAGGATGTTCCAGAAGAAAAACGTTTTCCGAAGGTTAAAAGACATAATATCACGAGATTCCAAGAGGAGATGAAAATCCCTGTGGTAAATATTTCACTCCTTCCAGAAGAAACCCAGTTGAGTCTCAGCAACTTGGATTTACAACTGGAAAATGGAGACATTACTTTGAAAGGATACAACTTTTCCAAGTCAGCCTTGCTGAGGTCATTCCTGATGAACATAAAGGATTCTAATGTTAAAAATCAAGTTCTGATAACAGATGAAATAAGTGACCATGTAAAGGGTCCACCAGAAAAACTGGTTTCCAAAAGCAGAGACAGTTTGGGAGCTTCTCAAAGATTACAGAGGTCAACTTCCACAACAAGGACAGCAAAAACGAGCAGTCAGCACCAGGATCAAAGTCCCCCCCTAGTCTTGGAAACTAAAGCGGAATTTAAATTGGAAACTCAGAGGCAAAGTATAATAGGTGGGAATGCATCCAGAGAAAAACTATCATCTCTGATTATCCCACCTGACGCCCGTGTGACAAAACAAGAGCTCCCAGGGAAAGACAAGAACAACAGAGCAGAAGAGAATGCTGACAATCACCTAGGTAGTGAAGAAGTATTGCCTGGAAGAAAGTTACAGCAGTATACTGGGAGTTACCCAGGCTTTTTGCCATGGGAGAAAAGAAAGTATTTCCAAGATCTTCTTGATGTAAGTTAGACCCAACCTTGTTTTTTAGCTACCTTCCTAAGTGATGATATAATAGAATTTATTCAACACTCACTGAACTAGGTAATTCCCTTACATGATTTCATTTAACTGTTCCAGCAATCCTGATAAAAGTGCCCTATATAAGGGTATTTACTACTGTTGTTCCATTTTATAGTTTAGAAAACAGACCTTATATGTATAATGGAAATAACATGGCATACTCCAAGAAAGCTGGAAAAGGGCCTTGGCATCCTGTCTGCCTAGCATGTAAGATCTGATGATTTTCCAGCTTGCCTGATGAAAGCAACCTGAGCTTCAGATAAGTTTCCTTATCTGAAATTTGGAGCCCACTTGATCTGTGCTCTGTGTGGTCTGCTGAGCCATGGTGTCATTTGTGCCTTTTCTCAAGTGTTGAATGCTGGGGCATGTGAGACATTAGAGCACAATGACTGCACATAGAAACTCGGAGACCACTAGAGATGACAGAGATGAGGTCTCCCTTGAGGAATGGAAACTAAAAGAGAATCCAAAGAGAATGCTCCTCCGTGCTGCCTTGGGCACTGGGCCACTGGGCCTGGGCTGATAGCGAAGAAGCACAGCTCAGGTGCATGTTGAGCTGGGAATAAGAGGGTGAAGGGGAACTGTCTTGTTCCTCTCACCACTTTCAGGAAGCGTCTTGTGCCTCCCATGTTGGAAGTTACTAATGACTGAATGAAGAACTGCAGAGTTCTTGCCTATGTTTCTGCACTTTTTCCACCTTTTATTTTTCTCTAAAAAAGTCCCTGAGACTCCCTCTCCAAAATAACTATCAAATAGCAGGGCTAGAAGTATGTTTCAGCTGCTAGAGCACCACCCAAACAAGCCAAAGGAACGCCAAGGCCCCAGTACTGAATGCATGTCCTACAAAATTAAGAAAATAGAGGGAAGGGATGGACTTAGGAGGGTGGGAGAGAATGATAAAAGGAGTGACACTGATCAAGATTCCTTGTGTTGCCAGGCGCCGGTGGCTCACGCCTGAAATCGTAGCTACTCAGTACGCTGAGATCTGAGGATTGAGGTTCAAAGCCAGCTCAGGCAGAAAAGTCCAGAGACTCTTTATCTCCAATTAATCACCAGAAAACCAGAAGTGGTGCTGTGGCTCAAGTGGTAGAGCATGAGCCTTGAGCTGAAGAGCTCAAGGACAACACTCAGGCTCAGAGTTCAAGCCCCATGACCAAACCAAAAAAAAAAAAAGATTCACTGTGTTTATGGACTTCTTTGTTGAGTGGCAACTCATTTGTACAACTACATACAGATTTTAAAAAACAATACTTCCCCTGCTCTTATAAAAGCATTATTTGTTATGAACTGCAAAAATGTACCATAAAAAGGGGAAGGCACATCTTCCCATTTTCCCTTTTGAGATAGCCACTTTTCATAGCTTGGTGAATATCCTAGTACTTTCCTATAGATACACAAACATATAATAAGTTATATAGTTTCCATTCTTTTCTGCAGCAGTGAAATAATAGGTGTATTTTCCTGTTTGCCTTTAGATTCAATAACTAACCCTTGTCAGTGCCATTGTTTTTCTAGCAACTGCAAGGTGCTTCCAACATTCTGCAAATACAGATAGTATTGCAATAAATAGTGTGTGTGTGTGTGTGTGTGTGTATACATATATACATACACACACACACATATATATATATATATATGTATGTATATATATATCAAACATGTTTTTGTTGCTTTAGGTAGAATAACTAGGTTAATGTGTCTGTTTCAAGCTTATAAATTTTAAACCTGTCCTTCTAATGTGTGGGACTACTTCATTTCCACAAGTAGTGTATGGGAGCATTTCCTGTTCCCCACCCAGGCTGACTAGCAAGGGTTACCAAACTAGTAGCAATTTCTTTGCCTTTTTTTTTTTTAAAATCAATCTGGGAAGCACAAATATTCTTTCTTAACCATGTTCAACTTGTTTTCTAGTATTTTTTTGTCCACATAGTTATGCCTTTTACAGGTTTTGACTCCGTAACAATACCCACAGGTTTTGACTCCGTAACAATACCCCTTGGTGTATGGTGAAACCAACTTTGTTTCTAGCCTGTGCTGCTTTGATGTTGCCAGCAGAACTGCCTTGATCCTGAGATTACCATCAAATTTAATGCATGGATACATTTTGTAAATGTTGCATTGACTTGGCTTTGAAATACCACAGGCAGTGACTAGATCTTGATGACTTCGATATAAATAGACCATCATACAACCTGCTGTTCTCAGTTTCAGTGCACTGAAATGCACGTTAGTCTTCGTCTTGGGATCCTTAAAATGACCCGAGAGCATGCCTCTCCTCCTCCCCTCTAGACAGTTATGGAGTTGTTACGACCATGTCACGTAATGTGATGTCTTTCTCTCTTGTTAGGGCAGTAAGCTTTACATGAGACATAATGCTGAACTCCCCTTGCAGGAAGAAGAATCGCTGAAGACTCAGTTGGCGTACTTCACTGATAGCAAACAGACCGGGAGACAACTAAAAGATACGTTCGCAGATTCACTCCGATATGTCAATAAAATTCTAAACCGCAAGTTTGGGTTCACATCCCGGAAAGTCCCTGCACACATGCCTCACATGATTGACCGGATGGTCATGCAAGAGCTGCAGGATATGTAAGTCTTGCTTGCGTCTCGCGTTACCTGCTTGAACTCACAGCTGAGGCACGTTGAAATTGGTATTATTTGCTCCGCTAACTTTTTGGCTGTAGTATTAGATGAATAATATTGTTAAAGAGACCATCTGAAGTGGGGAGGAAAATGCTGTCCTCTCCAGTATTTAGTGCCATGGATACTGTCAGGATCAGAGCTCATCAGCAGTTACTTTTGGACAGGTTCCCTGAAGAATTCGACAAGACCTCGTTCCACAAAGTGCGCCATTCTGAGGACATGCAGTTTGCCTTCTCTTATTTTTATTATCTCATGAGTGCAGTTCAGCAACTGAATATATCTCAAGTCTTTGATGAAGTTGATACCGACCAATCTGGTGTCTTGTCAGACAGGGAAATTCGAACACTGGCTACCAGAATTCATGACCTGCCTTTAAGTTTACAGGTATTGTATTAGTGTTACATCGTATCATATTTGTATTATATTGGTGTTGCATTAGTATTGTGTTGTATTGTTTCAGTCTTTGTGGCACTTGAAGTGAAAATTGTTATTCTGACATCACCTTTTTGGCTACACATTTCAATTTATGCAGGTCAAAATATTCTTAACATTTAATGTGGATAGCCAGTCATAACTAGTCTTTTTTTATGTCAAAAATAAAACCAAATTTATGTTTGTTTTTTATAGATTACTTTTTATAGACTTTCATTTAGAGATTAATCTGCTATCTGGGAATAAAACAGTAGGCACCTGAATGTAAGATTTCTGTGGCAAGTTTATACAGGGCCGATGGCTATTGGTGAAGACAGGTCTCAGCATGGTGTCTCTTACCAGGGCATCCCTCAGCCCCAGGAGTAGGAAACTCACTAATTAAGATGCCAAATGAATCTGGCTGCAGCGTTCCTTTCTTGAGGTTCTTGGACCAACTTGTGCAAATGGGGATCTCACATCCACTGTGTTGTACCTTAGATAATCCTGCTCTGTTTAATTTCTTTATAGTTAAGAGTCATAATATAGTCAAACTCCCTTTGAAAATAGCCTGAAAAGCATTTGGGAGATTTCTACATAGTTTTTTTTTTTTTAATTTTTATTTTTGTATTGTTATTGTAAAGGTAATGTACACAGGGGTTATAGTTTGATAAGTCAGTAATAAGTACATTTCTTTTGGGAGAATGTCACCCCTTACTTTGCTTTTAAATCATTGGGGTTTTTGTTGTTGTTGTTTTTAAAAAAACACACAATCATTACCTAAAATGTACATAACAGGTTTATGTTTTTATTTTTCTTTGTTAGGATCTGACAGGTCTGGAGCACATGTTAATAAATTGCTCAAAAATGCTTCCTGCTAATGTTACCCAGCTAAACAATATTCCTCCAACTCAGGAAGCATACTATGATCCCAATCTGGTAAGTGGTCTGACTTCCTTTTATACAGCAGGAAGTTATCCTTCTTCTTTTTCTTTTTTTTGGGGGATCTGGTTGTGGGGCCTGAACTCTGGGTCTGGGCGTTGTCCCTCAGCTCAGCTCTTCAGCTCAAGGCTAGCGCTCTACCACTTGAGCCACAGCACCTCTTCCGGCTTTTTTCTTTTTGCTTATGTGGTGCTGAGGAATTGAACCCAGGGCCTCAGGCATGCAAGGCAAGCGCTCTACCACTGAGCCACCTTCCCAGCCCAGCAGGAAATTATTCTTATCAGGTGCTATATGTACCCTTTCTGTGCAGCACATTTAAACACTAGAGGCAGCTGGGAAGGTGGCTCAGTGGTAGAGTGCTTTGCCTTGCATGCATGAGGCCCTGGGTTCGATTCCTCAGCACCACAGAAGCAGAAAAAGCCGGAAATGGTGCTGTGGCTCAAGTGGTAGAGCGCTAGCCTTGAGCTGAAGAGCTGAGGGCCAGCGCCCAGGCCCAGAGTTCAGGAACCACGACCAGCAAAAAATAAATAAATAAACACTAGAGGCAGGTTCAACATTTACATGTCTTTGGTGCAAAGTAGCAGCATAGATAATCCAAATCATTTTACTTTGATTTTACTTTGGAATCCCTCTTCCTAATGAATATGTAAGCTAATATTCAGATTAGCTGCTTAGATCCTGTAAGCATTAATCCTAGTCACCAAGGATAGCAGAAAGTAGCTCCAAACCCCAGAGCTTTTTGTTGTTTTTTTGTTTTGTTTTTTGGTCAGTTGTTTGGGCTTGAACTCTGAGCCTGGGCACTGTCTGTCAGCTCAAGGCTCGTGCTCTACCACTTGAACCACAGTACCACTTCCGATTTTCTGGTGGTCTCACAAATTTTCCTTCCCTGGCTGGCTTTGAACTGCGATCCTCAGATCTCAGCCTCTTGAGTAGCTAGGATTACAGGTATAAGCCACTGGCGCCTGGCCCCAGAGCTTTCTTTTGGACAGGAAGAGAAATACCAAGGTTAGACACCAACCATCATTGAGAACGTTCTCAAGCTTACCAATAGGGTAAGCTTGGCTGAAGATACAACTATAAGAAGAAGAGACGTATATTGGGGACAATGGTTCGTCCCTATAATATTGGCACTCCAGAGTCAGAGGCAGGAAGATTAGGAGTTCAGGGCCATCCTGGACTATACAATGAGGAACCTGTCTCAGAAAAAAAAGAAAAGGGCCAGGCACTAGTAGCTCAGGCCTGAAATCTTAGCTACTCAGGAGGCTGACATCAAAGGATCACAAGTTGAAGCCAGCCTAAACAGGCAAGTCTGTGAGACTCTTATCTCCAATTAAATCATCCAAAAGCCAGAATTGGAGCTATGATTTAAGTGGTCGAGCACTAGCCTTGAACAAAGAAGCTTAGGGGCAGTGCCTAGGCCCTGAATTCAAGTGCCAGGACCTGCATGAAAAAAAAGACAAGAATGAAGGTAAAATATGAAAAAAAAGTGCATCTTAGAATTGAAGAAAGGGTGTAGTGCAGACTTTACATTGTTGTTTACAGCTTTTACTGACATGAAAAAATGTAAAAATATGTAATAGTACTGTGCGCCAGTGGCTCACACCTGTAACACCTGTAATCCTAGTTTTACTCAGGGACAGTGCCTAGGTCCTGAGTCCCAGCCCCAGGATTGGTGCATGCGAGCGCGCATGTGTGCACACACACACAGACACAAATACACACATAGTACCATGTACATAATGTGATTTGAACTATGGGAAACTCTCAAATACTCCTTTCTCCAGGAAAGGGTGTTGGGCTCTTCAACTGCTGTCTCCTCAGCCTCTCTACTTTCTTGAGTCTCCTAAGTTGTGTATTTTGGGGCCAGTGCACTGGTGTGTTGGAAGGTCAGTGCCCCCTCCCACCTTCCCCAGCCCGAGGAACCTCTGCCTGAGCCCCTGGGAACCCAGCTCCTCCCACTGTGCACGCAGGCTGCTCTCCTGCCCGCCTGTTCCCGCAGCTGCCCTTCTCCCTTGCCTTTCTCTCCCCCTTTGCTGCTCTTTTTTTTCTTTCTCTTGCATGTTTTGAATTCCTAGTAAGATTCTTGTTCTTACTATGCCATGAACTCTATAGAACATGTATAGAAATGGAGAGCTTTTCGTTTTCTTTTGAAGTCTGTACATCTTCATTTACTTCAGGAGTATTTGAATGTTTACCAAGTTTGGGGCATGATATTTAGAATTATCAGCTTTCCTTTGTGAGCTAAGAAGTAAGAATTAAGTTGCTAGTGATGAAAATTGAGTCTTAAAGCCTTATACAGATGAATTGCTGAGTCTCTAAATACTAGTTTTTTTTTTTATCTGGTCATGGGGCCTGAACTCTGGGCCTGGGCATTGTCCCTCGGCTCTTCAGCTCAAGGCTAGCACTCTACCAATTGAGCCACAGCGCCACTTCTAGCTTTTTTTTTTTTTTTTTTTTTTTTAATTTTTTCTGCTTATGTGGTGCTGAGGAATCGAACCCAGGGTCTCATGCATGCAAGGCAAGCGCTCTACCACTCAGCTACCTTCCCAGCCCTCTAAATACTAGTTTTACAGGCAGTACTAGTCACCATTACTCAAGCAAATTCATCCGAGGTATACTGTAGACTGTATTACTGCAGTTAGTGAATTATACAGAGGATAAAGAAAATAAAGTATTTTTTAATGAGACTACAATCTACTAAGTATCATATAAAGCAGCCTGTATTTCATGCTAGAAATTAATCTTCATTCTGAAAAAATAACATTAAGGAAGCGTTGACATTATATAGAGCAATAGGTAATTAAAATAAAACTTTATATATAAAAATGGGTGATTAAACCAGGCATTGGTGGCTCACATTTGTAATCCTATTTACTTAGGAGGCTGAGATCTGAGGATCGTGGTTCAAAGTTAGCCTGGGCAGGAACAACCATGAGACTCTTATCTCCAGTTAACCACCAGAAAACTGGAAATGGCGCTTTGGCTCAAGTGGTAGAGTACTCTCCTTGAGCTGAAGTGCTCAGAGACAGTGCCCAGGCACAGAGTTCAAACCTCACAATAGTGGGGGAGAGAGGGAGGAATGGGATGGGGAATGGCTATCATATGCCAGTTTGGGTTTTTAAAAAAATAATGAAATATTCTTCCAGGGCTGGGAAGGTGGCTCAGTGGTAGAGTGTTTGCCTTGCATGCATGAGGCCCTATGTTTGATTCCTCATCACCACATAAGCAGAAAACTGAAAGCGGTGCTATGGTAGAGCGCTAGCCTTGAGCTAAAGAGCTGAGGGACAACGCCCAGGCCCAGAGTTCAGCCCCCTCAACTGACCAAAAAATATTCTCCCAACTTAGTGAGTGTATCTTGCCTTGCTGCTGTCTTGGTCTTGACAGAATGTCTAATCCCCTTGTATTTTCTTGCAGCCACCAGTCACTAAAAGTCTAGTTACCAACTGCAAACCAGTAACTGACAAAATCCACAAAGCTTACAAGGACAAGAACAAATATAGGTAAGCAACAAATACATTTCTGTTTCCAGAATGGTGACAGAGGCCTGGCATTTCCATAATTTACAACAGTTAAAGGTGATGGCTGGGTGCCATTGGCTCTCGCCTGTAATCCTATCTACTCAGCAGATTAAGAGCTGAGAGTCTCAGTTCAAAGCCAGCCCCAGCAGGAAAATCCATGAAACTCTTATCTCCAGTTAACTATCAAAAAGCCAGAAGTGGAACTGTGACTCAAGTGGTAGAGCACTAGCCTTGAGCAAAAACCCTCAGCCACAGTGACCAGGGTCTGAGTTCACCAGAACAAAAAATAAATAAAATTGATGAATGAATGAATGAATGAAAGGTGATTGTTGTCTTTAATAATATTGAAAATTTTGAGCTGGTGGTCACGCCTGTAATCTTAGCTACTCAGGATGCTGAGATCTGAGGTTCAAAGCCAGCCCAGGCAGGAAAGTCCGTGAGAGTCTTCTCTCTAAGAGACCACCAGAAAACCCAAAGAGGCACTGTGGCTCAAGTAGTAGAGTGCTAGCTAGCCTTGAGCTGAAGAGCTCAGGGACAGTGCCCAGAGCAAGTTCAAGCCCCATAATTGAGCCCTCCCCCCCAAAAATAATAATATTGAAAATTTTAATAATCTGTGCTTTGGTTGACTCAACTAAACTTTTAAAAAATGCTTTTCCTAGTGTAATTCATACCTACATAAATATTTAAGGTCTCTATGTATTGACAATTAGGTTTGAAATAATGGGAGAAGAAGAAATTGCTTTCAAAATGATCCGCACCAATGTCTCTCATGTGGTTGGCCAGCTGGATGACATACGGAAAAACCCCAAGTATGATTGACTTGTTTGCTTGTTTAACTTACCTATTTGTTTTAGCATGCATTAGTTGTATGGGGGAGGGTGATTCATTGTGACATTTCAGTCTATACAAATATATTCTAATCAATCTCACCTCATCCTTCTCTCTTATAATCCTTTCCTCTTCTTAAAACAATTTTAATACATTTTGTTTTGTTTTATATTTTGTACATTTTTATTGTAAAAATACTGTAGAGGAGTTTCAGTTATATGAGCAAGGTAATGATTTTTATTAGTATAATTTTTGTTGTAAAGATACTATACAGAGTTATATGAATAAAGTAGGAGTACATTTCCTATCGAGCACTCTTACCCCTCCTTTGTTTTCCCTTTTGCTTTATTTTCATGCATGCAAACAAACTACCTCAACTGTATTTGTCCTCATTCATCCCATTGTTAACCCCACCTCCTCCCATGTGTACCTCCTTCCCATTTATTTTTAACGTGATTTATTTTTAATGTGTGTTGAAATTGCGCTAAGGGGTTTCACTATGGTATTTCAGACATGAATATAGTGTGTTTTGCTCCCTGTTGCCTTTTCTTTCCCTACTAGATATGAATTTATAAAGAAATATGTTAAATTTTGGAAATAAACTTGACTAAATGACATGGGGGTAGGGAGATGGGAGTAGCTAACTTTGGGCTGACAGACAGGATGGCTAATGGTAGAGGTAGTGCCGGGGTTGACCTAGGGTTAAGGCAGGCTTCTCTCGCAGGGGCACTGACTCACCTGGACTCCTAAGATTGGGTGACAGGAGTAATTCAGTGAAGCTGCGGCAGACTGCATGGTGGAGTGATGGCAAGGGACCCAGGTAGCAGGCAATCTCAGTATTTCTGAAAGGATGCACCCACAGGAGTTGTTTGGGAATTAGATCTAGCTTCACAATTCAAACTCAAGTGTAGATGAATGTCTAAGAAAAAAGAAGTGTGTCTACAAATGTGAACATTATCTAGTAAACTCCAGCCATTATTTGGTATGAATAAATTTTCACATTTACATAAACTTTGAAAATTTCTAGCTCTGCCCATTATCTTAACTGGTTTGATAAAAAGTATTTAAATTGTATATATATGTGTATGTATATGTATATATATATATATATATATACACATATATATGTATGTTTTTGTCAGTGGTGGGGCTTGAACTCTGGGCTTGGGTGCTATCCCTCAACTCTTCAGCTCAAGGTGAGTGCTCTACCACTTGAGCCACAGCACCACTTCCAGTTTTTAGTGGTTTCTTGGAGATAAGAGTCTCAGGGACTTCCTGCCTGGGCTGGATCCTTGAGATCTCAGCCTCCAGAGTAGCTAGGATTACAGGCGTGATCCACCAACACCCGGCTTCCTTTTTCTTTTAGTTACTGAGGCTTGATTTTTTTTTTTTTTTGGGTCCGGTTGTGGGGCCAACTCTGGGCCTGGGTGCTGTCACTCAGCTCAAGGCTAGTGCTCTACCACTTGAGCCACAACGCCACTTCCAGCTTCTTTCTTTTTGCTTATGTGGTGCTGAGGAATCGAACCCAGGGCCTCATGCATGCAAGGCAAGCGCTCTACCACTGAGCCACCTTCCCAGCCCTGAGGCTTGAATTTTTAAGTTGGCTGTGAAAATTGAACTCAGGACTTTGGTGCTATTCCTGAGTTTTTTCTCTCAAGGCCAACAGCATTCTACCACTCTGAGCCACAGTGCCACTCTGGTTTTCTGGTGGTTAATTGGAGCTAAGAGTCTCACAGACTTTCCTACCCCAGCTGGCAGTCCTTGGATCTCAGCCTCCTGAGTAGCTAGGATTACAGGAGTGAGCCACTGGCACCTGGATTTTTTTTTTTTTTCCTAACATAGGCTCCATCAATTTTGTGGAGGATGGCTTAGCATATGGAATTAATGCATTTCATTTGAGCATTTTTATTTTGACAAGACTGGAACTTGAACTCAAGGCCTTGTGCTAGCTAGGCAGACACTTGAGCCATGCCTTCACCTTCTCTTCCATTTCTGAGCCTTAAAATATTTTTGAAAGTCGGGCTGGGAAGGTGGCTCAGTGGTAGAGCGCTTGCCTTGCATGCATGAGGCCCTGGGTTCAATTCCTCAGTACCACATAAGCAAAAAGAAAAAAGCCGGAAGTGGCACTGTGGCTCAAGTGGTAGAAGGCTAGCCTTGAGCTGAAGAACTGAGGGACAGCGTCCAGGCCCAGAGTTCGGGCCCCACGACTGGACCCAAAAAAACAAAAACAAAATATTTTTGAAAGTCTTTAGTTACTTCAGTTCAATTAAGACTTTAATTATAAATGACCAGAGAACACTTTAGACTCCTAGGTATTTTTAATTAAATTTTTGTTATTATTAAGGCGTTGTTGACTTCCAGCCTTTTTTTTTTTTTTTGTCGGCCGTGGGGCTTGACTCTGGGCCTGGGTGCTGTCCCTCAGCTGTTCAGCTCAAGGCTAGCGCTCTACCACTTGAGCTACAGCGCCACTACTTCCAGCCATTTTTAAATCACTATATTTTTTTTAAATGACAACTATATTTTATCTACAAATTCTATTCATCTTTTCAAGGGAAAGAGGAAAGAAACTGAGAAAAAGAAGTTTCTTTTTCTTTTTTTCCACTCAAGACGAACTAGTATCAGAAGCTCATGCCTATAATCCTAGCTTCTCAGGAGGCCAAGAGCTGGAGGATGTGATTCAAAGCCAGCCTGAGCCCTACCTCTTGAGACACACTTCCAGCCATGCTTTATAATGGTATTTTAGAGAGAAAGTTTCACAGACGTTTCTACCTATGCTAGCTTTGATCCTCCTGACTGGTTGTTTTGTGTTTGTTTTTAAATCTAGATTTGATCTAATTTGGTGAATATAGTTCTGGAATATTCTTGTATTCAAAGCAGTCTTATGAATTTACAGAATGAATGTACGATGATGTATTTCATATACATATCATTCCTTCAACAATAGCCAATTATGTTTGATCTTGTTTCTTCTAAATACATCTACTCCTTTGTTACCATTTCCTGGTTAATTCATATATTTTTGTTTATTGAAATTGTATCAGAAAACTTCATTGCAACCATACCTGTACTTTCCCCTGCATCTCTTTAAATACTGTATAAATCCTGCCGGTGTCTGAGGAAATTTGATTCTGTATGCTATAGATTTCCTACACTTAGTGCTCATTTGCCAGTTGGTTTACATGTTCCTAAACCCCTTGAATTAAGTTCCTATGAGTTGATAGTTGGCTCCGAAGGGATGTCAGTTTGTGTGATATGGTTTTAAATTGTTTGTCAATGGTTTAGTAACTTTGGCCTCAAAGCAAACTTGAAATAAAAGAGGAAGTATCACTGTAATCTGATCTCAGAACTTGTATAGATATTTAATCATTTTTCTTCTAGCTGCTAACAAAATATTCTAGTCAGTTTACTAAATTTATTGAATCCTAGATTCAGGTTACACTAAATGGAATCAACCCTAGTTTGGAGAAGTAGGTGCGGTGGTTTACACTTGTAATCCCAGACCTCAGGAGGCTGAGGCAGGGGAATAACTAGTTCAAAGCCAGTCCGCACTACCTAGTGAGGCTTTGTCTCTGCAAAAGTATGTGTATATTGATAGCTATATATGCAGGAGTTCACATTCCTTATTTGTATTAGGTCAGAATCATGCTTGTGATGACCAGTTTCCCTGGCTCTTTATTATTTCAGGAAGTTTGTTTGCCTGAATGACAACATCGACCATAATCATAAGGATGCCCAGACCGTGAAGGCTGTTCTCAGGGACTTCTATGAATCCATGTTCCCCATCCCCTCCCAGTTTGAGCTGCCGAGAGAGTACCGGAACCGTTTCCTTCACATGCATGAGCTGCAGGAATGGTAACTTGTGTGTGTTTGTACACGCGTCTACCAATGCCTATGTTTTAGAGTGAGATTTCTTCAATACCCTGATGGCTGACACCTATAATCCTAGCTGTTCAGTAGGCTGAGATCTGGTCTCTGCCTGCCTGGGCAGAAAGACAGATCTAAGACACTCATGTCTTCAGTTAACCAGCAAAAAGCTGGCAGTGGAGATAGATGGGAAACAAAGTAGGATTGTAGCCCCACTTCAGACTGGGGAAAATGTGTGCGATCTTATCTAGAGTGAAAAATGGATGGGGCATGGCTCAGGCGGCAGAGTGCCTGCCTAGTGAGTGGGAGTCTCTTGAGTTCAAACCTTGGTCTGAAAAAAGTAGTTTGAGGAGACATCGACTTCTCCGTTAGGTGTAGCATTTTTTTTTTCTTTCAGTTTTCTGATCTGGGGCTTCCAATTCTTCCCATGCTCAGCGTCAGTGAGTCCCTCCCTGCTGACCCTAGCCCAGTCCTGCTTTCTGGAAACTTTTTCCCTCTTACCCTGAACCAGTCCCCTGTGCTCTTTCTTCTCATCCCCACAGAATATTCCAGTTCTCACTTGGGTCCAGCACCTGCGGCACTGTACAGCATTCTCTCAGTTACTGTTTGTCTCTCTTAGTGGACAAGAAGCTGGCGCTCTACCACTTGATCCACCACTTGATCCACAGCGTTACTTCTGGTTTTCCAGTTTTCTGAGAGTTCATTGGCGATAAGAGTCTCATGGGCTATTCCTGCTTGGGCTGGCTTTGAACTGTGATCCTCAGATCTCAGCCTCCTGAGTAGCTAGGATTACAGGCGTGATCCTGGCTGGTTTCTCAGTTTTCCCAGCAGGCTTTCTTTCCTGGGGATTGATAGCACGACAGTGACTCCAAGTTTCTCAACACTTCCATCTTTACCCACAGGAACCGTTTACCCAATGACTGAGGGAGTAATAACATGAACTAATATACATTGAGCTTCATGACAGTGAAGCCACAAACATAAATGTGTGTTTTTTTCTGTCTCTGAACAGGAGGGCATATCGGGACAAACTGAAGTTTTGGACCCACTGTGTACTAGCGACATTGATTATATTTACTATATTCTCATTCTTTGCTGAACAGGTAAGTATTTTAAATACTTCACGCGGATATTACTAGCGTCTGAATCCTTTAGCCAATAATACCAATTCACAACCAAAGTCAAGTCTGGTGTGATATGCCTGAATCCCAGAGCTCAGGAAGCAGAAGGGTAGGAAATTCAGACCCAGCCAGGAGTGGGAACTAAATTCTATTTTTTCATTTTCTATCTTGTAGCTGATTGCTCTTAAGCGAAAGCTATTTCCCAGGAGGAGGATACACAAGGAAGCTAGTCCCAATCGGATCAGGGTATAGACCATCTTCGTTTGAAAGTCATCTACCTCAGCATTTACTGAGTAACCTAGCATCCTGAAACTCAGCACCACAGGGACACCTTCATGCTGTGACACTTGGTCGGAGGAAGGAAAACATCTAGAACCGTGCCGTTCTGTGGCACAGACAAGCCCATTGCCCCCAAATTACTGAATTAACACACTGAAATGATGTTACTTTTAAGACATTTGCCCATGGACCTGTCACTCTCTTTCTAAAAAGCCTCACTGCCTAGCTGCTACTTTCCTACCACCGCCATTGTATACTAATAGAATCCCAGGCCAGTTTGGGAGCAATTGCTGAGAGACGCCAGTCTTTGCATTCCAAAGCCTTTTGCTATAGCTTTTCACTTTGGTTTTCTTTTTTCCATGTCTCATTTTGAAAATAAGTAGCTACTAAGTTAGCTTGTTTTCTTGCTTCTGAAAATAATGAATTAGATGTCTAAACATGTTTTTATAGATGTTATCTAAATAATGCTGTAACATTACCTCCTAGTGGCAATATCTGAATTGGTTTATTATTAACTGTTGAGTGGTCTTGAACCATGAATAATTACTAAAGAGCTCAGTGACTGACATTGGAAATACTTTGTTGTATTTGCTTATGTTAGTCCCTAAGAATACTGTGATTTTGTGTGCAGGCCTAATTACAAAGGGCTAGAGTTAAGTAGCCGTGCTACTTACCAGATGTAATTATGTTTGTTAGATGTATATATTCAAACAGAAGTGCCTCATTTTAGAAATGAGTAGTGCTGATGGCACTGGCACAAAACTGTGTGTCTACTTTAACATCCATCCACATGCTCTAGTGTGTACACACCCTTGCAAGCCACCGCCTACCCCGATTGGCTTTGTATAGACCAAAAGTCAGCCAACTGTAAAAGGCCAAAATACTTGCAGAACACATGTGCCTCTGTCACATTTTCTTCGGTGTTGTTTGGTTAGTGTTTTAATTTTCTTTTAACAACACTATACAAATGTAAACCCTATGTTTCCCTTGCCTCTACCAAAATGGGTCATCATCTGGATTTGATTCACAGGCCATCATTGGCAGAGCACAGAAAATTAGCATTGTTTTCATGTATGAGTAAATCCTCTGTTCAGCCATGGTTTGTTATGACATTATATAGTGGATTCCATGAGTCCCTTTTGAATTCTGACAGTTATTTTAGATCATGATCTCAACAGTATTCTCCCAAATGGCACACATATTTTGTAAAAAGAACTTGAAATGTAAATACTGTGTTTGTGCTGTAAAAGTTACATATTTCAAAAATGAAAGTCTCACAGAAAGTTAACATTTGTCTGGTGCATTGATTTAACTCTTTCTTTGAGAATTGGATTTACTTTTCATCCAGATTCAACATCACTTGCTTGCCAATATATTTCAGACTCTATTAAAACTAGTAAAGTTAAGCAAAAAGTAGTATAAGGAGAATTTGGTGTTACAATATACGGGTCAGTGTTTATATATCTTCAGAACACAGGGGAAAACTAAGCTAGTCACCAGAGGTGCCTGTAATCCTAGCTACTCAGGAGGCTGAGATCTGAGGATTGTGGTTCAAAGCCAGCCCAGAGAGGAAAGTCCATGAGACTCTTATCTTCAATTAACCACCAGAAAACTGGAAGTGGCACTGGCTCAGGTGGTAGAGCACTCGCCGTGAGCTGAAGAGCTCTCAGGGACAATGGCCAGGCCCAGAGTTCAAGCTTCACAACTGGAAAAAAAAAGAAAAAGAGAAAAAAGAATATAGGGGGAAAATAGGTTCTAAATGGCATTTATCAATGATAAAAATTTAAGAAGTTATCTGAGTATCATTGTAAAAGCAAAGACTATTCTATAGAAAGGTTATAGAGAATAAACTTTTATGTGTAATGGAGATTTCAGCTGTTAGATGAATATAGTCTGCATATTAATAGTAGTTGGATAATAGAATGTTTATAGAGCCATTCATTTAATAGTATGAATTTAAATTTGTTGAAGGCCAGTACATGTCTTAACTTGTAACAGAATATGTAACCCTGAGTAATTGATGAACAACAGAAATTTGTTTCTACATAGTTTGGAGAATTCCCAGCAGGTTCAGTAGGCTAGTGAGGATCTCTGTGTTTCAAAATGGAAAATGGCACCCTGAGAATGCTGTGTCCTCCAATAGAAGGGAACTCTGTTCTCACATGACAGGAGGCAGAAGAGCAAGGGGGGCAATTAACCTCATGAGTTGTAATCACTCCCTGAAGGCTCTACCTCCTAGGTCCCTTAGATCATTGATTAAATTTCAACATGAATTTCAGAGGGGACAAAAATCATAGCATTCAGTGATTCAGAAGCTCATGTTACCTGGCCCCCAGCATAGCACCTCTAATCCCCCACACTAAGTTTCATAGTGGCTTGTTATGCAAGATACCAAGGCCCCAAGATGACATGAATTCATCAGGTTCTCTTTTTCCTACAAGGGTGTGCAGGACTCACTCACAGGCAATAGAATGTGTGGGTTGTCACTCTGCAGTCAGACTGATGTTCAAGTTTTATCCCTGGATGTAAACTGCTAGGATTCAGCTTTCTCTTCTGAAATGTGGAAGCTACCTCTAGGCTTAAGACAATGATCAAAGGGAATGACAGGCAGCACAGCCAATCTGACAACTGTCACTAATTGTCACTGCCTGACAGTGCTGCATGGTGAATGAGGTAATGGTAGTGTAAACTTTTTTGTTGTTGGTGGTGGTGATGGTCATGGGTCTTGAACTGGGGCTTGGGTGCTGTTCTCAAGGCAAGTGCTCTACTACTTGAGCCACAGTGCCACTTCTAGTTTTCTGGTGGTTAACTGGAGATAAAGAGTCTCAAGGACAGTCCTGCCTGAGCTGGCTTGCCTGGGCTGACTCTGAATAACGCTCAGCCTCCTGAGTAGTTAGGATTACAGGTGTGAGTCACTGACATCCAGCTTATTGTGGCCCAGCTTAGTGTGAATGTTTATGTTGAGGGATAGTTATATTTAGGCTACTGGTGAGGCTGTTAGTACATTCATAACTTGAACAGATGACTTTTGGCTTTCTCTACGCAACACAGTCTATCAAGAAGATCCCCCTAGCTTTTTTCAAAAATATTTAAATTTTAAATATACCTGAGCTACAGGTGTATAGTTCACTGGTAGAGCACTTGAGCACAAAAATAACCAACAGTAAGGTAGAATCATGACAAATCAAAACATTTAAGGAAGAAACAGCACCTATTTTATAAATGTATTCAGAGTTAAAAAAAAAATAAACTCATCCCCAAGGTCACCACAACACAAACCCAGTTTCAAAGCCAGTGTCAGACACCACAAGAAGGAATGTCACACACCTCACAAGAAACAAAACATTAGCAAGCTTAATTCAGTTATTTCCCAGAGTACAACTTGTATGACCAAGCTGAGTCCACTTTAGGAATGCAAGGTTGGCTCAACCTTTGGAATTCAGTGTACTTCAACAGGCATGTAAAGAGAATGTAATTTCTCTTGAACTTTCTTTGAAAAAGAAAATTATGAAAAATTTTAAAATAAAGAGACTAGCACAAGTGTCTATCCATCTAATGGTTATCAAAATTAATTTTTCTTCATTTTCATAACCTTAGCATTTGGGAGGCTGAGGCAGAAGGGTTGGAATTTGGAGGACAGCTTGAGCTATAGAGCAGGAGTCTGCCACAGAATTAATATATAAATAAAAATAAATGATTAAAAATAAATCCAGATTCAGAAGATCAGAGCCTTGGTGGTTAAGATAAGGAAGACTTCTTGTAATCTAACTGTTCTTCATTCCCACTTGTCCTAATTACAGCTTCCACCTTACTGAGCACATTCTCTATGTTCACCCACATCATACTGGCATTTTATCGGTGAGGGAACTGGGATTTGACTAGGTTCCATGTCTCACCTGAGGACTCACTGTTAAATCAGGTTTTTGTTTTTTGTGTTTGTTTTTTGTTGGTCGTGGGGCCTAGGCGCTGTCTCTCAGCTCTTCAGCTCAAGGCTAGCACTCTACCACTTTGAGCCATAGTGCTACTCCTAAATCAGGTTCTTTACCCAAGACTACAAAGTTCTTTCTTGGCCACTGAGATATGCTTGGATTTTAAGGAACAACTACAACTCAAAACTTTCTTTTTTTTGCTGCTCATAGGTCTTGAACTCAGGATCTGAGCACTGTTCCTGAGTTCTTTTACTCAAGGTTAGCCTTCTACTACTTTGAATCATAGCTCCACTTCAAGTTTTCTGGTGGTTAATTGGAGATAAGAATCTCACAGACTTTCCCACCTAGGCTGGCTTTGAACCAGGATCCTCAAACCTCAGCCTCCTGAGTAGCTAGGATTACAGGCATGAGTTACTAACACTTGGGTCAAAACTTCTTAAGAAAACAGAATGTCTAGACACATACCCTTCTAGGGCTGTTGCTTCACTCTTCCCATCCTGCCTCACTCTGCATATCAGCTTTTCTCTTTATGAGCATATAGCAGCTCCATTGTTCCATCATTGGAACTCCATTGCTCCAATAGCAGATGAATATAGTGATTGCCTCAGCCTGGGCTCTGTGTCCTCCATTAGTTACAGAGATGGAAACTTCACCCAGAGAAGAAGGAAGGGGTGCTGAACTGACAATGATGTACTCCAAACGTTGTAAAAATTTTATTAGTCAAAGAACAAGCATTTGTAAATTACTAAGTACTCCATAATTGTGGCTGTCATGAGTCATAGTTTGTCCTTCCCCCTGCTTTTCCTCTGATGCCTGCGCATGAAAAGATCCTGCAGAAAGAAAAGTGAAACAACAAGCTGGGCGCTGGTGGCTCACGCCTGTAATCTGAGCTACTCAGGAGGCTGAGATCTGAGGATCGTGGTTCAAAGCCAGCCCAGGCAAGAACATCCATGAGACTCCTTATCTCCAAGATTTAAACCACCTGAAAACCAGAAGTGGTGCTGTGGCTCAAGTGGTAGAGTGCTAGCCTTGAGCTGAAGAACTGAGGGACAGCACCTGGGCCCAGAGTTCAAGCCCCAAGACCAACAAAAGAAAAGAAAAGTGAAACAATACAAATTGTAGACTATGTTTCATTTGTACTGGGAGAGGGAGGGGCTCTTTAGCTCTACATCCTGTCCACAAAATGCTTAGGAAGAGCAGAAAGAGTCCAGTAGGGACACATACACAAACACACAGAGAACACACAGTAACGACAAGCAAAGAGAGTAGACCTATTGATGCAAAAGAAATGTAAAAGTGACTTGATTTGCATCAAAATTTAATACTTTACTTATCTGGGAATACTAGGAAATGGACTGAACTCAACTCTTTTTGCTTTAGTTATTTTTTACATAGTGTCTTTAAGTTTTTGCCAAGCCAACATCCAATCAAGTTTCTCTTACCTGTGACTACTGTGTAGTATTACGTATCACCTAGTCAGCAAACAACCTACTATCCCATTGTAGCTATTTGTGAAGATGTTAGCACAGTGGAACCTTCCACAGCTCATACATGGAGGGTATGCATAGCCCCTCTCAAGGATGATACACAAATTCACAATGCAGTCTATCTTTTTAAAGTCATATTCATTCTCCAATAGTTATTCTTGTGTTAAGATATTAAGAAATTACAATATTTAAGAAATTACAATATGCAGAACAGCATTTTTTATATAGGACCTAATCTGGAAACAACCCAATTATAAGCAATTAAAAAAACATATCAACTGTGCAATATTGCCACAATAGCACATCATACCACAATGAAAATATAAGAATTATGGCTATACATAATACTGTCTTTGAAAATAGGATCTATTCTGGAAACAACTCTTGCATATATTGACAAAAATAGCAAATGAAAAACACTAATATACAGATTGTAGAGTTGTGCCACAATAGAATATCATACAAGGACAATGCAAGAATTATGGCTACAGATAATATTCTCTTAGAAAACTATGGTGAGGGCTGGAAAGGTGGCTCAGTGGTAGAGTACTTGCCTTGCATGCCTGAGGCCCTGGGTTCGATTCCTCAGCACCACATAAGCAAAAAAGAAAAAAAAGCCAGAAGTGGCGCTGTGGCTCAAGTAGTAGAGCGCTAGCCTTGAGCTGCAGAGCTGAGGGACAGTGCCCAGGCCCAGAGTTCAGGCCCTACGACTGGACCAAAAAAAAAAAAAGAAAACTATGGTGATCGCCTTCTTAGACTATGGCACCATTTTCTGCAGTACAAAAACTAAACCCCATTGTTTAAGCACCATTTATTTATAAGTGGCCACAACATTCAGAAAAATGGAAGAGGTGAGTGAAGGACACACATTC